GCTCAGTAGCCATTTTTGTAAGCCAGTGTCGAGGTGTAAAGACTAGTTACACCAAGTAGGGTCATACATTTTATTTGATGATTAATTGCCATATAAATAATTGTGATTAGCAATTTGTCTTTTTTTGTTTATTGTGTGCAACTGTAACTGTGCGTTCAAATAAACAAACGTCACTCACCGCTGCCATCTAAAGGCGTCATTAACAAACATCAAATAAACAAATGTCAGTCGCTGCCGCCCTCTAAAGGTGTTATTAACAAACATCAAATAAACAAATATTACTCATATCTGCCCTTCAATTTTAATTCTAAGTCAGAATTTAGAACTTTCGTTGACCATCACGTCTCAATTCAGTGTATTTTCTGCTTTCTTTTATTTGCATGTATTTGCTTCAGCCAAATGAATGGAGACACACACCCATTTCTCGCTGTGTATGTTGTAACTGTGAAATGTCTACGATCTTTGCTAACAGCTGTGGAAAATAAGTGCAGTCAGCTCAAATAATTGTGATCAGGCGATTATGTAATACTTGTGACAGGCCTAACACTAAGCATGTGTGGAGTCATGTGTACAGTTTATAAAGACTGGAAATAAACAGAGATGCTAAACCTGAAAAACAGCAGGCCTACAGAGACTGAAAGCAGCTGATTAAGAGAAATCTGGCCGATGGCTCCTCTACATTAGCAGAGCGCCCCACTGACCCTTGAACACAGAGATTCAAGGAGTTGTCTGGTGAAGAAATCTGATTTTGTGAGCTTGAGCCTGCTCCTCTGCTGTGTTAAGATGTTTTTCTTTATTAGAGAGCAGGTTTGCCAAGTTCTAAATATTGCATGCCCTGAGTAAAAAAGTTAGATGTGTCAGTGTTTCTCCAGAGTGCCCTCTCTTCTGTTTGGGTCTTGAGAGTTCTTAATGGCTTGTTCATGATTCCTCTGATCTCCACCCATCTTCAGTTTGCTTCAGTTTGGTTATCTGGGCACAGCCTGGACAATTCTGGTCTTTGTTTGTAGAGACACATCATTACATTTGAATATCTTTTCGAGCCACTTCATCCTTGTTCTGCTGATCTGAAGTATTTTTGATTTCTTTGTAAAGGGTTAAGGTAACAATGAGTATCATTGTATCAAATTTTAGCTTATTCTATTGTATCAATCTATTGTGACTAGCATGGTGTGGCTAGTTTGTTAGGTAATGTTAAACGCTCTAATACACTGAAAATGGGAATATTATCATATTAGCATGAGGCACATTTTAAGGCAGTTTTTTCTGTATCGAACAGTGCAGCGATTTGAGACATCTGCATATGATATCGAAGTGAAGTTTGAATTTTGTGAGTTGTTACACCTCTACTCAAGGCTGTATGGATTCAAGAGTGTATTCACATCCCTGATTAGCTTTGTAGCTCCAGTGAAAAACTTGACACCAAACATGTCTTCTGTTCAACCAGATATTTTCGTGCTCAGTGACAACACCGGGGTAAAAGGCCACATTTCTCTTAATCAGCTACTTTCGATCTAAGTAGGCCTGCTGTTCTTTAGGTTTAGCATCACTGTGGGTATTTCCAGTCTCACCATATTGTAGGTGACGTTACATACACATGCCTGGTGTAACTAGTCTTCACACCTCAGTCTTGGCTCTTTATGTGAGTCTGTGATCCAGTTTATTACGGGTGTGAAAAAACACGGACAAAACTGGGCTGTATACAGAAAAGAATAGAATGAATCATTGCCTTGATGTGCTATTGTGTTTATACAAGGAATAGCAGACCAGCTCATTGAAATACTTGTAACACATCCATAGACATAGTGGTCCTTACAGAGGAATACCACATATTATGACTCTGTTTACATCTCAGATATTAAATTATGCAGACATTGTTTTATTTAAAGCAGTAGTTTGGCAAAAAAAATAATTTTTTTATTCTTACTCTAAATGTATTTCTTTGGGGTGTCTTATGACATTATATACCACACTGTTATCTATAAATAAGGACAAAAGTATGTTTCATTACTAAAAACAGTAGCAGCCATCTTGTACCTTAAATTTTGTCCGTACTTTTGTTCATGTTTATAGGTAACAGTGAGTCATACAGTGTCAGAAACCACAAGTCAACTTAACAACTCCATGTGGTTTATGTGATGATCTAGCCATGCAGTGTGCACAATGCTAATTGCTAATAAGCTCTGTTACTGGTTAGCGTTTTGCTTTGTGACTGCAACCATTATTAGTTGGATCACAATCACATACAACACCATTGGCCAACGGATGTGTTTAGTCATATGTGCTGAGACTGGAAATACCCTCAGAGGTGCTAAAGCTAAAAAACAGCGGGCCTACTCAGATTGAAAGAATCTGATTAAGAGAAATCTGGCTAATCACTCCAGATTAGCTGAGCATCTCACTGACCCCTTAAATGCCTGAAGTTCAAGGAACTAATTTAAATGTTCGCCTTACCCCAGATGTGGTCAAAATTTGCCTCATTAGTTTCACACTGGAGCTACAAGGCTAATGTGGCATTATGATAATTGCATGACTAAATCATCACACTTGCCTCAAACTGTGCAGAGTTGTTCAGTAATAGACTTGCTTGTGTGATTTCTGATGCTGTATGAAATGCTGTCGTCTAAAACAATGGACAATAGTACGAGATAAAAACAAAAGCAGCATCTTGACGCCTGTAGCTTTGTCCAGTTTTAAATAACATTAACTGGGTTATAACAGAGACATCATAGAGAAGAGGGCACTGGTTAAAAAATGAAAAGATACGCTAAATAGCTTGCCAATGAATCAGCACTCAGTAGCAGTACTACTAACCGATTAGCACTCAGTAGCAGTAATGCTAATCAATCAGCACTCAGTAACACTAATACTAATTAAGCAGCACTCCATAGTAGTAATGCCAACCAATTAGCACTTAGTAGCAGTAATGCTAACCAATCAGTACTCAGTAGCTGTAATGCTCACCAATCAGCACTCAGTAACAGTAATGCTAACCAATCAGTAGCAGTAATGCTAACAAACCAGCACTCAGTAGCAGTAATGCTAAACAACCAACACTCAGTATCAGTAAAGCTAACCAATCAGTACTCACTAGCAGTAATTCTAACCAATTAGCACTCAGTAGCAGTAATGTTAAACAATCAGCACTCAGCACTGATGCTAACCAGTTAGCACTCAGTAACAGTAAAGCTAACCACCCAATAAGCAGTCAGTATCAGTGCTTGCTTTAGAAAACAGAACAATACTGATTTTCTTGCTCAAATTAAAGGACATTTCTGCATAAATGGCCAAAAGCATGTTTATTATGTTTTTTATGTCTTGACTGTTTAGCTATCTTTGAGTTTAAGAGGAAAGTTGTGGAGATGTGACTTTTAAGTGAAGTCCTGCACCCTCAGGGTTACTGCTGCTGGTGTTATGTGCAGTGAAGGAGTTTAAGTAAAAATATCTTGATTTTAAAGCCTAATAAGTTCTAGATCTGCTTTCGCTGACCTGCTTGGCAGCAGTGCCAGCCTTATTTTGTTCTGCTATGCTCACAATGTTAATCTTCTTACAGGGTCTGATTCATGCTTATTGAAACCGGTCTGGAAATGATGTTTTTCTCTAACAGTTGAAGAGTGACGGAGGGTAACAGTAACCACAACCTCTTCACACATTCTCACACTGACATAACGGCTGCACATTCAGCGCTAGCACTAGCTGTCATAGTGGATTTTTAAAGGTCACATGCACGTGCCATTCTCACTCTTGACACTTGACACTTTAAAGGGCCCATATCATTGAAAACTGTATTTCCTTACCTTTTTGAAATCAAAGATTTTGATGTAGAATGCAAACACAAAAAAAATAATTTGATATTGTACAATCCCCATGGAAGCTACTGAAACAGCCATTTATGAATTAGTTGTTTTTGTGATGTCACAAAATCCTACATGTTTACATATATCTGCTCATTCCCTCTACAGCAGTTTAGCCCCGCCCACGCAGACTTAAAGTTTTAAGGAGTGATTCTGTGCGGACTGCTTTTTAAGTGAGACACAATTCAGGGCAGCCAGTCAGAACAGGGCTCATTTACATAAATCAGTCTTAAAGTTACAGTAACAACCTGTTTAATTTAAAAGCATTCTTGGAATGGTTCATTACATTCATGTGGAAATTAATTTTTTCCACAAAAACTCACAGAAATGTCATCTCAAGGAAAAAAGGAAATACAAGAAAAATGTAAGATATAGGCCCTTTAATGAACAGCCACAACAAACCTGCAGTGAGAATGGCGGTGCCACTAATTTGATCATTTACTTTAATTATTAATTGACTTATTAATAACCAATAAGGAGTTATTAGACTAAGAGATGATAAAAGGGTGCTGGATAATGTGTAATTCAGGCACATGCTATCCTGATCTATTTCTGACTGTCTTTTTCTGACAGTCTTTAATAGACTTCTAATATTAGTCATTGGCTTATATATCACAGATCTGTCCTCTAATCTAAAAGTCTAATGTCTGATCCGAGTGCCTCTGTTTACTGTCTTTCTTTAAGCTTAATTCTTATTAGTTGTATCGTAATAGCATTATCTGGCACGGCCCAGAGGACGATGGGTTCCCTTTTGAGTCTTGGTTCCTCTCTGTGGTTCTTCATCATACTTTTAGAGCGTTCTTCCTGACACTGCGTCTCTCAGTGAGGCCCATTAGGAGGTTGTACTCACATTTCAGGACAAGCTGCTTTGGATCGATGTCTGTTGGAAAAAGCAAATTATAAAAAAAATTGATCTGAATTGAGCAGGAAGGCCTGCAGTCCCTGTGATGAGAGTCATGGTTTGTAGATGAGTGGATGAGTAGAGCGGTTCTCTCTGGAGGACATGATGGAGGACAGCTGCATGATGCAATTTCATGCTGGTCAGCACAACCTTCAGTACGCCCCCCAGAACCCTCATCTAATTCATTTGTATATTCATTTTCTCTCTCTCTTTCTCTCTCTCTCTCTCTCTCTCTCTCTCTCTCACAGTTATTGAGTGAGAAGATAAGTGGTGCTGAAGGAACGAAGCTAGATGAGGACTTTATGGAGATGGAGCGGGTAAGGACTGCCTTTAGCTCATCACTAATCTCACTGCTAGGGGTGGGCAGTGTAACAGTATGCAGTAGTGGGCAGTGTACAGGTTGAAATTCTTCCTCAGGGCTGAGTTTAGTCATAACTGTTATACCAGCACGCCATGAATAAGCGTAGATGGCGCAATGTGCAAACCATGCTAACATTATCCCGTTTAGCTGAGTGTCTGAGTCAGGGACGTTTCAGTCACGTTTCAAATGAAAATGAAAATGCAGCAAACCTTCGATCAGCTCCTGCTTTCTAGTTTGTTGCATCTGAAGTAGCCCACTTTGCAGTGGACATGAAGGAATGGCTGGACGTTTTAGGGTTAGCATTAGCCTAGCATGGGCACTAATCGGATTAGGCCTGGTTGAGAAGCCACCTGACTTGGTCGTCAGCATCAGACAACCACAAGGTCTCGGGGCCTTCCATCACACAGCAAACCATAGACCAGATGGTACAGAAGTGTAAATAAGTGTAATATTTTTTAAAATTTCAGCAGTGTCTGCTGGGGGGAGGGGTTGGGGGATGGTACATATGCACATGTATGGCAAAAACGACTTTGATTAGGCTAAAGTTGGCTTCTTATTTGAATTTCCTGTTCCACCTTAAATGGTGCAGCAGTTATTTGAGGTGCCAGACTGTAACTGCTGTTCCATTTAAGGTAGAACAGAAAATTCGAATCTAAGTTGCCAGATAAAAAGGCGACTTCAGCCGTGTAGAATTCATACGTTTAGCACCGTATGTGCTGGACCCATGGGGCTAGTGTTAGAAAGCGTCTGAACATCAGTGTGTAAAATTAAGAGCTGTCACTACCGAGACACACATTTCTACATTCAAGCAAACTTTTATGTGTTTTAATAGAAATATTTTTATTTTATGTGCGAGCCATTCAATGCTGTGTTTACTAGTCATGTGCTGGCTAGAGTTATTAGCTTAAATTAGCTAAAATTGTCACTACCAAAACAGTTTCAGTAGTGCTACAATTGTTTTGTTTGTTCCACTGATGTGTCTTCTGAAAAAAAAAAAAGGCAGCAGTTCCTCCAGAAGCTGTGCTGTACTGTAAAGCTCTCTTGACCTGATTCAACCACATTGTTTCAAGTCTGTTTGCACCATTTTCCAATTCTCTTTGTTTCCTCTTCTCTTGACATGCTTTTGTTTCCTCACAGAAAATTGATGTCACCAACAAGTCTGTTTTTGAGCTTCTAACCAAAACCACAGAATACCTCCAGCCAAACCCCGGTAAGAGAACAAACAGACAAACAGACAGATTCCTCTCAAAAAAGCTACGTACAGGTCAGGTCATATAATACATATAGAAATTTATATATTTTAGAATTACATCGAAGACACTAAATCTTCGAAATAGCACACGTGGAATCTAGTTTCTAATTTATATTCTTTAAAGTTTTGTGTTATGCTGCAGTTTCCAGTGGTGGGTCTGTGTGTGACTGTTTGTTTCCATGATGCTTATTATATTAGCTCATTACTTGTTAGCGCATAACGTCAGTACGAAACTAAAAGAGCTCATTACGTCTTGGCAGTGGAGACCCCCATGTGTTCACTTTTTTTGTTTGTTTTTCTGTGAAAACAATTATTTGCATTTGTTTTGCGATATTTGTGTCATCATCACTGCAAAATAAATGTTTTCATGAGATCTTGAGATATTATCGCAACATAACTGACGTTGTTTTATCAAGATAACATTTGTTATGTTGTGATAATGGCATAAATATCTACAGATCTTAGGGAGCCCTGCTGGTGACATTCCATATAAATAAAAATAATGCATGGCCATGACTGAATAAGGCATGGGAATGAAATAATTAAGTTGTGGCCATGACTTAGTAAGTTAAGGGAACAAGATTATGCCTTATTAATCTGTGGTCAAGGCTTAATTATCTCATTCCCACACCTTTCTAAGCTGTGGCCACGCATAAGGATCTCGTTCCCACGCCTTGCTAAGTCATGGCCACAGTTTAATTATCTCGTATCCACACCTTACTAAGTTGTGGCCACATGTTAGGATCTCATTCCCATGCCTTACTAAGTCAAGGCCACAACTTAATTGTCTTGTTCCCAAGCCTTACTAAGTCGTGGCCACAACTTAATTATCTGATTCCCACGCATTAGCATCTCGTTCCCATGCCTCACTAAGTCATGGCCATACATTAGGATCTCGTTCCCACACCTTACTAAGCCTTGGCCACAACTTAATTATCTGATTCCCATGCCTTACTAAGTCGTGGCCACAACTTAATTATCTCATTCCAGCGCCTTACTAACTCATAACCACACATCATATTTATTTATATGGGATGTCACCAGCAGGACTCCATAAGATCTTGAGAAAAGAGCGTTCTTTGTGTTGTGATAATGATACAAATAACTCAACATCTCGAGAAAACAAAGGAAAATAATTTCTTATCACAGAAAAATGAAGTGATACTACATTTGGTGTCATTTGGCAACATTTGCTAGTCATGAACTATCACTTTAAAGTGTCCGACTTCTGTGCCTCACGACTGTGTTTGGACGCTTTTGCAGCATCGCGAGCCAAGCTGGGGATGCTGAATACCATGTCTAAGATCAGAGGGCAAGTGAAGACAACAGGCTACCCACAGACAGAGGGGCTTCTGGGGGACTGCATGCTGAAATACGGCCGGGAGCTCGGGGACGACTCCGCATTTGGTATGGAGGACAAAATACTATATTGTGATTAGTTTACTACGTATCGCGATTGTCATTTGCCATTATATTGCAAAAAATTAAAACACACTGTTGAACGCTCGATGAGATGTTGAATACCATATTTTTTATTCAACGTTTCACACGCTGCTGCACAAAAACCAAATAAACAGGACTTGATACCACTTTCAAGTAGGACTACCCTTATAAAGTGTTCATAATAATGAGTTTATTGACTGTTATTAATTATTAGTTTATTAATTATTAGTTATTAATTAGGGCCTAAAGAGCTTAAAATCATTAATAAGCATTTACACATAATTAATCTTCATTAGTCAGCCATAAACCTGTCAGCTTTAACACATACTCATATTCATCAGATATAAGAGCTCACTTTTATTAATGTGTTATAACTGCTTATTAATGATTCTTAAAGTGTTTATGACCTAATAACCATAAACAAACTCATTTTCTTATTTTAAAGTGGTACTCAGGACTAATTATACTCTCTTTGTAGTCAGACATTCAGGTGGGAAGTGTTTAAGTACAGACAAGTTTCCTGATACCCTCAGAGAGGCATTGTTGCGATTGTTGTTGTTATTGTGACATAATTTATCACGGTAACCATAATTATTGTCATATTGCCTGGTCCTAATTGACAGTGGCTTCCACAAAAGACGGTAAATAGAATGATATACAGGCGATATATTGTGCAGCCCCAGCAGACATGTACTCTCCAGTAAACAAGAACCGCAGGCCAGCAGCAACGGATATCCTGCTTTGTGGTGATGTTGAAATCATTGTCTTGTCTGTTTCACTCACACAGAGCAGCATGTATACACTCTCACTGACATCCCCTCTCTCTCTCTCTCTCTCTCTCTCTCTCTCGTCGTCTCTCTCTCTCTCTCTCTCATACGCAAACCCATTGGCTAAAACAGCCTTCCTGTAGTTTGGGTGTCCACATTTACCAGCACAAAACTCTGTGAAACTCTATAACTCTGACTCAGTGCTGACATCTAGTGGAGTGAACGGATGCTGCAGAAGGTGCTCAGCATTAATCCTCACAGGTTTAGAGATACTGTCATTTTGCTATGATAAAATGTGTTGAAGAACATAGTTACATAATAAGTTATGTTTACATTCAATTTATATTCTATCTCGATGGGCATTTTTCCATTTGTTTAGATAGATAGATAGATAGACAGACAGATAGATAGATAGATAGATAGATAGATAGAATTGACAGCAAGGACACAAACAAAAACAAAATAAAGTAAAAAAGCAAAATAAAGGCCAAAGACATAAATATTAACACAAGATAAATAAGATACATACAAGTATATACAAACATAGTAGTGCAAAGTAAAATTATATATAGTGCAAGATATCTCAGTCTTAGTCTAGTCTCAGTCTTAGTCTTAGCCTTAGGTAGGAGAGGGAGCATAATGTTCTATTATGAATGTTTTTTCTCTCCAACTATACTGTACACGCTGCTTTTAATCAGATAGAAATCCTAATAAAATATCTCCTCTTATACTTAAAAACACATGTGTTATACAACCCCATGTCCAAAAAAGTGCAAAATGTAAATAAAACAAAATTCAATGATGTGCAAATCGTTTAAAACCTATATTTCATCGAAAATAGTATAGTAATAGTATTTAGAATTTGATGCCAACAACAATATGTCTTTGAAGCATTTTCAATGAAATGTAGGGTTTAAATTATTTGCACATCATTGCATTTTGTTTTTATTTACATTTTGCACATTGTCCCAACTTTTTTGGAAGTGGGGTTGTACATTGAATGTTTAGAATAGGTTTTTTAACACACACACACACACACACACTGCAGAATATATATATATATATATATATATATGTATATATATATATATATATATATATATATATATATATATATTCTGCAGTGTTGGACAGGTGCTAAGTAGACTGACCTGTGACCGAATACAATTTTAAAGTCAGCTTTTTCGTCCATTCTAATATTGTGTAGCAGTTTCAGAGAGAGGAATTATATAGGTCCACAAATAAAATGAATACAGTGACAAATTTAATTTGATTCAAATGTGTAATTTTCCCCTTAAATAAAATATTTATTATGTTTTTACCAAAAGTAAGCAAACTGAAAGACAAAGCTGCTAATTTTGTTCATGTGAAAAATGCACACTTGAATCAAGTACATTCAACTCAAGTGCAGCATTTTCGCTAGTGGACTTTTTCAAGTTGTAGTTTCAGCAAATACTTGCTGCTGGGAGGAAGACGGCAGCGTTATTTCTGCAGAAACACCTCGATATGTGCTACTATTTACTTTATATGGGGGCATATGAAGTTTTAAAAGGGCCCATATTATAGTCACTTTTTTTAAAGATTAATGTAGTATGTAAACGTTGTTAAAGTACTGTTTACTCCCCAGTCCATACATGGAAACTAAGTTTTGAATTCATTGTTTTTATGATGTCATAAAACCAACACTGCTACACACTGTATATCTATTTAGCCTACAGCAGTTTAGCTCCACCCACTCATGCTGATTTTATAAGTTTCAGTCTGGACTGCTTTCTGAATGAGGCACAGTACCACAGCCAATTAGAACAGAGCTTATTCACATACATCAGTCTTAAAGGCACAGTAACAAAAACAGGCTGATTAATTCTAGGGGATAATGAGAACTTGGAAAGTGGTCAAGTAAAAGTCATGACAGTTGTTGGTACATAAAACCACACAAAGGTTTTCAGTGGATATAGGATATGTGCCCTTTAAATTAATATATAAAAGTTTAGAATTTTATTTATTTATTTTATCTGGAGACTTCGTGCTTGAGCAAACATAGAATGCATTAATATTACAATATACACCGATCAGGCATAACAGGTACTATTTGGGTGGTGGATCATTCTCAGCACTGCAGTAACACTGACGTGATGGTGCTGTGTTAGTGTGTGTTGTGCTGGTCTGAGTGGATCAGACACAGCAGTGCTGCTGGAGTTTTTAAACACCTCAGTGTCACTGCTGAACTGAGAATAGTCCACCACCCAAATAGTCCCTGCTCTGTGAGGGTCCATGGGGGTCCTGACCACTGAAGAACAGGGTAAAAGAGGGCTAACAAAGTATCCAGAGAAACAGATGGACTACAGTCTGTAATTGTAGAACTACAAAAGTGCACCTGTATAGTAAGTGGAGCTGATAAAATGGACAATGAGAGTAGAAACAAGGATAGTCATAGGTCATAATGTTATGCCTGATCAGTGTATTTTTTATTCATGTTTTGTAATATATTGACCACATATTCCAGTACACTGGCCACTTTAATAGAAACCCCTCTCCTGCCTGTGTACAGTTAGAGACTGTACCTCATCTGTTGAAGCACAGTTTGTGTTAGTCATCCTGCCGCCCAGGGTTCACCAGCCCTCCTCCTGGAGATCTACTTTACTGCTGAGTTTAGTACCAACCTTCGTCCAACATGCTGCTCGCCACCCCCCAGCCCCCCCCAGCCCCCCAAAACCTAACACTAATGCATCTGATCCAGACAATCAAGGGCTTCTAAAGATGCTAGGTGTGGTGGATTGTGAAGGTAGATCTCAGCATCAAGGTTGGTGACCACTGCTCTAGCCCTTTATCAGAGCCGCTTTTGGCTGGATATTATTGGGTGATGGACCATTCTCAACAGCTGCTGAGCTGAGAATGGTCCACCAACCAAATAACATCTGGTCAGTGATGGTCTTATTGTCCTTTGTGTCCACAGGTTACGCTCTGGTGGACGTTGGAGAAGCTATGAAACAGATGGCCGAAGTTAAGGACTCCCTTGATATCAGCGTGAAGCAGAACTTTATTGATCCACTGCAGACCCTGCAGGACAAGGACCTGAAAGAGATTGGGGTAAGGGATCCATCCATGTATCCATCCATCCATCCATCCATCTCTTTACTTGGTTCATGAATACATAATAACTGCAGTGCAGCACTTTGGTTTATTGTGAGATGCTGAACACTGCAGTTTTGATTATATAACCATCTGAACTGGCATGCCCTCTCTTCCTCCTCTGCTTTAGCATCATCTGAAGAAGCTGGAGGGACGGCGGTTAGATTTCGACTACAAGAAGAAGCGCCAGGGGAAGATTCCCGAGGAGGAGATCAAACAGGCTGTGGAGAAGTTTGAGGAGTCCAAAGAGCTCGCAGAGAGGAGCATGTTCAACTTCTTAGAAAATGATGTGAGTTCCACAGAAAATCTCAGCACATTTTCCCAGCGTCATATCAGAATCAATTTAAATATGTAGTCTTATACACCCCCAGGTCGTGTTGTGTTTATTTAAAATAAGATATAAAAATAAATAAAATAAAAATAAATTATATAACAGTTAGTTCTGGCCAAGCAAGCTGATTGGTTGAGAAGCGTTCTAACCGTGCTGTTATTTCGCCATAACATCACGGGTTTTTCACAAACGCTGTATCACTCCGCTGAGACACCATTGCTAAGCAATGACTTTCACAGCTCTAGGAGACGCTCAAGCCATTTGAACGTTTTTACTTCGTACTTTGTACACAAACAGAAAATGGATACTTTTAAGATCAAATTTGACTGACAGCCGATTTGGTCAGACTCTGAAAATGAGATTACATTAAATTCCCAAACTGTCAGTTGATCTGTGTAAGGAGCTGGAGAACGACCTGTCGGCTGTGCAGTGAGTAAGCGGAGCTCGGTAATCTGACGTAGCAACAAGCTGCTTGTTAAGGAACTATAATTTGGCGGAAGGAATTGCTAACATTAAAACATTAAATGCCACGTTTACGGCCCAATTTATTTATTTCTTACTTTATTTTTTTAACTGTTGTATAAAAGTAATAGAACACTCGAGGTCGTGTGTTATCGCAAATAACATCACAGCTGTGATGTTATTTCGCGATAACACACTCCCTCTTGTGTTCTGTTGCTTAAATAACACATCCTCTAAAGAGAACGCACCAAAATGTGGCATTGTCCTGAAAATTATAATACGCAATTTCCATTTCTAGTTCAGAAGTGTGTTCACTGAAGAGGATGTGTTAATGCAACACTATGCAACACATGCATTTGCAGCCAGAGGCACTTCTCATTGGGGTCTTTGCTCAGTATTTCTCATTGTAGTATCATCTACCCCACCTCTAGGTGGAGCAGGTGAGCCAGTTAGCGGCTCTGATCGAGGCCGCGCTTGAGTATCACCGTCAGTCCTCGGAAATCCTGGAGGATCTCAACAGCAAACTGCAGAACAGGTAAACTCATCTGCTACTGTTGCTTCTCTTTAGCCTTTTAATGCTTTAGATGTATGTTCTTATTCTTAATCTCATTTTACAGAATGTCAAAGTCAAAAGCAAAAATGTATATAATGTATCATAAATGTAAATAAATGGAACTCACTTTTTTAGTTACACCTTCAGTCAGACAGTCAGTGTTAATGAGAACCATTGCCAGTTGGAAATTGCCTTTTTACTCTGATTTACTCTGAGAACATTTTTCTTACTCTAGCCAAAAATGCTAATAGTCTGAAGTACTATTTGGACAAGATTAATGTTATATGTGGAGGTGAGGTAATGTAAACATTACAGGAGTTTCTCCGTGAATTTTAGTCCAGTCTGAATCCACCGTCAGTCGTTTTCATCAATAAAGATTCCACCAGCGTTTACTTTCAACAGACAGTAGAAATAAGCCCAGGTTATACTAATATGAGCTATAAAACCAACCCTCAAAAAAAATCCCAGGTTACATTAATCCCATGCTATTACACAAAATGGAGTTCTCCCCCTCTACATTCTCTGCTCTACAAATTCTCCTCTTTTCTTTCAGTTTCCTGTGACAAAAACATTGCGTCTCACAAACGCCCCACCTCCTCCTACTCCTCCATTACTGCTCTCTGAGGAACAGGTGGGGGGTTTGGCTTCCTCGATCTCAGCAAGCCGCCCCAGAATTCCGGCGCAAGCTTCTCGGACTTTCCTCCTCTGACCCCAGCTTGGTTTTGAGTGTAGTCCAAACTTGCAAACCTTAGAAATAACCCCAGGATATAATAATCCCGTGCTATAAAATTAAGCATAGAAATAACCCCAGGTTATATAAATCTGTGCTATGAAAGTAAACATAGAAATAACCCAAGGTTATATTAATTTGTGCTATAAAAGTAAACATAGAAATAACCCCGGGTTGTATTAATCTGTGCTATAAAGCAGACTGTAGAAATAATTCCAGGTTATATTAATCCCATGCTATATAGTAGCAGTGTTGTATAAAGTTATCTTTTAGTTCGGTATGGGACATCTGGTCCTAAATCAATGTAAAATAAAGGGTAAAAGAAAAATGAAGGATACAGCTTAGCATGATGCTAACAATTTAGCTAGTACCCATTAGCTTTCGTTCATTAATAGCAATGGCAGCATTTTTAGATGAGGTATTCATTTAACGTTAATGATTCTACATGGGTGTAAAAGCTCAGCGCTTACATGGAGCCGTCACTGCACTCCACTTGAGTGGGCTCTAATTGTTGCTGTCGTGTGACCTTTCACCCCCAGGATAGCCTCAGCCAGTAGCCGGCCTAAGAAAGAGTTCAAGCCAAAGTCCATCATGTCCAGCCTGGAGGCCCTCGATGTCACTCAACAGAACGGCCTCTCCTACAGTTCCTCTCTGAAGTCCTCAGGTAGGAATTCAATAAAATATTCTTCTCATCTGTGCTCGCTGTCATTGCTGCCCTCAACATCATAATGGTTCCATTTATGACTGTAATTCATGTGTTGTGTGTGGTTAGACATGAGCACTGTTGGCCATTTTATCAGAAACACCTACCACACAGGTTCACATATAGATGTACGCTTACAGACTGTAGCTCATCTCTTTGTTCAGCCCCCCTCTAGCCTATTCGGCACATGACCACACACACGAGCTGGTATAAGTGTACGAGGTACAGTGCTGTTGCTGGTGCTCTGTGGTCAGAAACTGACCGTTAATACAGGAGTAAAGCAGGAGTCTGCTGATCAGCTGCTTGCAGAGATTAAAGAAGTGGGATCAGGTGTGCTTCTGCGTAATAAAATAAGTGACCCCTGAGCTGCAGGGTGGCCAATAAAGGGATATGTTTCTGATAAAGTGGCCAGTCGGTGTATTTCTCAGAGTATTTCTCACTTCATATGAAATCCTTTTCCTGTTAATCTCTTTGCAGATATCCAAGTCAACCACAGTGTAAATGGAAAAAGTAGGTTCTTCACTAATTTACTGATTGTTAGATGTTAGTGAATTACAGTTAGTAAACTTTTTTGATTTTGATCCTTTTAACAGTTTGTATTTAAAGCCTTAAAGCCTGAATGTCGATGTTGGAGGAAATAGTTTTGTGGTCCAGAGGAAAACATGACCCTCAAATATATCTCTAATGATTAAAGTGAGAATCAACCTGAGAATTGATAAACATGTTTTGGCAAACCCCTCCAAGGAATATAAAAGCTCTATTAAAGGGGAACTCCACCAATCCGAGTCAGAATTGTTCACAGTTGTGGTGATAGGAACCAGACGTCCACCTCTAATAGCTCCCCACAGAAACTTACATGAAATGGTTAGATATATGCAGCCTGATGTCTAAGACTTCCTGATAAAGTTTTGTCTTAAAATTTATCTTATTCCATTTATTATAATCCATTCATGGCAGAGGTACACATGCAGAGGTACACATGCAGGGCAAAATAGTCCCCAAAAAAGTTTTTTTTTTTCAGATTTACTATTACTTTGTCATCATCAACATTTATACTTAAAGACTAAGAAGATACTTGTAGGTTCACTGGTGGATTTGGATAGTAAATAAAATGTATTTGTTGTAGACACGGTCACCACCACTGTAAAAAATCAGTGTCTGTAAGTTTCTCTACAATGAAGCACTTAACATCTAACCACTCTGAATGACTCTGTTTACATCTCAAGGGCTGAAGTATTCAGACATTTTGAAAAATTGGTGGAATTCCCCTTTAAGATATAAATATGTACAGTGGCAAGAAGAAGTATGTGAATTACTTGCACTTGTGTATAAAATCGTCTTAAAAATATGGTCTGGTCTTCATCTGAGTTACGGTACAAAACAGACACAATCTGTTTAAACTAATAACACAAAAAATAATGTATTGTTCTTGTCTTTATGGAATACATCATTCGCACATTGACAGTGTAGGCTGGAAAAAGTATGCGAACCCCTAGTGCAGAGGTTGCAACCCAAATGTTAAGAGGAGCCATTTTGTCCTTTCAACAAAAATCAAACCACCTTGGGAGCCACAACACTTTATGTTCATTTTAACATCTTGGCTGTAAATATGTCTCAGTATGTGCCAATGTGCTAGTACAGGCTAAAAAATATAATATTAAAAAACGCAGATTTATTTTGCTCTGCTTTAAGCTTTTAAGCAGGAAACTTTTCAAAAGTAGAAACGGTTTCTTGTAAAATGTCTGTCAACGTTCAATTTCCCGTTCCACCTTAAATGATTTCAGAATGTAACTGTTCCCCCCTAAGGTTGAACGGGACAATTCGAATCATGCAATAATTGTTGTAAACCATCTTTTGTAAGAGTGTAGAAGTGAATGCCCAGCCAAGGTTACTTCAAAGACAAATCCAGAATGCTCAATTAAAAAAGCCTTAGAGCAACAGCTAAAGGCTTGAAGGAATCATTGGAACTGGTTAAGATCTCTGTTCATGAGTCTACCATATAAACAACATTGAACAGGCATGGTGTCCATGGAAGGACTCCATGGAGGAAGCTGTCCATCTCCAAAAAAGCATCACTGCACACCTGAGGTTTGCCAAAGAGCACCCTGAGACTCCAAAACTCTACTGGGAAAAGATTTTTTGGACTGACAGCAATACATACGGCGTAAAATGGGCACTGAATGTCAACATCATCCTAATGATGAAGTGGCAGCTAGAGGTCTGTGGTGACTGTTTTCACCTGCTTCTGCAAGTTTTCAGCCTACTCCCGCCCGCTTCTGCAGAAAATTGAAATCATTTCTCCCACTCCCATCCGCGCAGTTCCATCAAAGCAAACTGACATCCAGTATTTGACATAGTCTATTTACAAATACGTTATTCTCAGCTGAAATAACACAGCAATCATGGTCATCAGGCTCACTGTGAGTAACTTCACCAAACACCATATATTCCTAGTAAACACAGAGCAGGAATTAAACTACACACACACACACACACACACACATATATATATATATATGAGTCTTGTGTCGCAAGATATTATGGTAGATCCTGCGAGTCCAGTGGGAATCCGCGTTGGGATCATCATGGTTTGGGGCTGCTTTGCTGCCTCTAGGCCTGGACGGAATGCCATTGTTTAGGGAAAAACATTTTGAGATATATATTTATAGAGAATCATGTCAGGGTGGCTGTCTGCCAGCTGAAGCACAGTAGAAGCTGCGTGATGCAGCAGGACAATGACTCTAAACATTGAAGTACATGATACTATAGAACAGCTTAAACATAATAATATCCAAATTTTAGAGTGGCCCAGTCAGAACCCAGACCTTAACTTAATAGAGATGCTGTGGAATGACCTCAAAAGAGCCGTTCACACCAGAACATCTGAAGAAAATGGCTGACCTGAAGCAGTTCTGTAAGGAAGAATGGTCCAGTGTTCCTCTTAAGACCAGCTACCAGAAGCACTTGATTGAGGTTATTGTTGCCAAAGGAGGTTCAACTAGTTATGAAATCCATGAGTTTATTTATTTTTTCCAGCAGCACTGTGAGTGTTCAATTGCTGGGCACAATAAAGACATTAAAGATTATAATTGTATGCATATCGTCAGCTTCAGCAGATTGTGTTTGTCTAAACTTGTGACTTACATGAAGAACAAATCACATTTTATGACTAATTAATGCAGGAAACTAGTTAAAACTTTCTTGCCGCAGTATTTTCTTGCTCTCTAACCAGCAGATTCTTGTGTCAATCATTTTCCTGATTGTAGTTTTTGGTTTGTGTTCACATCCGTGTTCATCCATGATCTGTGTGTGTTTCTGTGTGTGTTTGTACCTCATGGTTGGTTTCGCTCTCAGCTGATCACGTTAGCTACACCCCCCCCATGACTCACACGTGGTCTGAAAGCCCCCAAGACAGTCGTGAGTATCATCAGATCTGTTTCCTGTGCAACAAACTTTGGGGGTTTTTCACAAAGCAGAGTTCACATTAAAGCAAAATCTATTTTATATCATTCCTCTCTTACCTTAAATGTAGTTGATCAGCCATGACATGCTGAAGTTTTGCACTGGTGCCTCAGTGCCGCCGCTGCTACTGTTTTTAGCTATGCTAATGTACTTTAGTCCATGTTTATAGATTACAGTGAGTCATACAGTGTCAGAAACCACAGAATCAAGTCTATTAGAGATACTGTATGTGATGATTTAGACATGATGACATTGGCCTTGTAGCTACAGTGCAAAACTAAAAAAGCAAACCAGGTCTTTTTTCTGATCAACTACATTTGATGTGAAGTAGAAAAACTGTGCAAATTAGATTTTTTTTTTTTCCAAACTATTGCTTTTATCTGGCTAAAAAAGAAATCTGGCTTTCTGAAATTCCCCCCAGATCATGTTCACTCATCATTCCTGTTCATGTTTATGTTTACTGCAGCCTTAAACATGGCTTGTCAGTCCCTTGATGTGTTTAACATACCTAATATTGTACCCCTTCAGCTCTGAATCCGAGACTGGAATGGTTTGATTGATTAATTTTCAAAGGTTTGAAGCTTCTGACATTGCTAATAATATAGAAATGTAATTCTGTATTGTAGGACACAGAATCTATATTTTTGATTTCTGACTGAAAGCAGCTCTTAATGTAATTATGCATTACATACTTTTAATTATATAGTTGCATTTCATTTGCATTTGGATTTTTGTTTTGTTGGTAGCAAATTCCAAAAACATGACAAAAAAAATTGCTAAAAAGCATTGTGAATCAGTAATGTTACATGTCTAAAAACTGGTTTGCATTTTTTTAACCAAAATAATTAAGTTTTTTTTTTTTTATTATTAAATGTGCACCAATTGTACAATTTTACATATTTTGTTTCCTGTACAGACAAATTAGGTTTAGGTTGGATGGATTTGTATCTGTGTGAATTAAATGAACACATAAAACACACATTTTCTGATATCATTATTTACTAGTGATGGGGAGTCAAATCCAAGAGTCCATTCCCTCGCCTTTGTCGCATTAGGGAATCAGGGTCGACTTTTCGACTCTGTTGACGTGTTCTTTTCATTGAGATTGGCTCAAGGGTCATTTCGAGGCGTGTGAAATTAAATGAGGACTTTTATTAAATGTTAGTGCTTTCATTATTTACTTATTTGCTTTTAATTTTGGCTGTGTACTGTCTTTTTCTAAATGTTATGAATTTTTTAATTTTTTGTTGTAGCACCTTGAGATTTTCCCCGAAATGAAAGGTGCATTATAAATAAAATGCATTGTTATTATTATTGATGGAGAAAAGAGCTTAAGCAGCATGAGTCAGTTTATTAGCAGACTTTATACCATATGCTACTCAACAGCTGCTGTAAGCACAAAGTGTCACAAAAATGTGAATATCTGCACCCCTAATGATGTATATGTACATGTTAGTATATGTTACTGTCGAGACAAAACCTTTCCATTGTCTCCACTGATGTTTTAATAATGGGGGGTCAGACTCCTTTATTAATACTCTTTTTGGAAGAAACATTGGATAAGTGCTTTTGGCCATATAGTGTATATAACAATACTACAGCATTTTGGTTCAGGTGTAGCAGTAGCATTCAAATGCAGTGTGAGAGCACTAACCTGCCTCAACTTATTTACCTCATAAAACTTCAAAATCAGCCAAAATCGGAATAATAAATGGGCTGTGTAAAGTGTATAGAGTTAAACCGTATTGAACTTACGATGCACAAACACATCTGAGCATCGCTTGTTGTTTGTTTACTCGCAGAGACGGAGCTGCACATGGACCAGCCGTGCTGCCGCTCACTCTACGACTTCGAGCCAGAGAACGAGGGAGAGCTCGGCTTCAAAGAGGGCGACATCATCATCCTCACCAACCAGATCGACGAGAACTGGTATGAGGGGATGATCAACGGAGAGTCAGGCTTCTTCCCCATCAACTACGTGGAGGTCCTAGTGCCCCTCCCCCAATGAGGCCAATGACTCTACCCAGAAACATTTCCCCGCCGCATTCTTCTCCATGGAAGTGCTGCGTTTTACCACAGACAGTTTGTTTTCCAGTATTTATTTCTTTCTCTCGTTTCGGTTTCCACGGTTGGTGGTATGCAGTAACCTGTGTTGGCTTCTGATTTTAGCCCCTGGCTTTTGCTCTTTGGTTGTTCCTGAAAACGTGTTGCATCCAGTAGGGTGGCTGCATTCGTCTCTTAGGGGTTTTTTCTGCTCTGATGTGGTTTATCAGTTTATCTGCCTGCGGTGGTCTTATGTGTTGCTGAAACACATTTTTTATGGACTGTGAGTATCTCTACTGCTACTCATATGAATGTTTATCTCCTCTAGTACTTAACCTCTCTCTCTTTCTCTCTCGCTCACTCTCGATTTCTCTCTCTTTGTCTCTATCTGTTGCCCTGTTGGAGCTGGGTGAGTTTTACTTGCAGAAGTAAGTGATTAACAACAACATTGGCGATGGGTAGAGCTTTAATCGGGCCTGATATTTTGGTCTCAACCTAAAGGTAGCCCGAGAACATTCAACCGAAAGCACTGTTTTGAATTTAAACTCGACATAATTCTGTCTAATCCTGACCTGAACTCAACCACCATCCAAAGCTGATCTATATTCCACTTTAATTAATACTAAATGTCCAGTGGAGCTGTGCATTACTGTTTTTTACTTTTTAATGAGTATTGGGCTGTGGAGCAGTGGAACTGTGTTCTCTGGAGTGATAGAGTTCCATTCAAAACCTTTTGGATGATTTGGAGTGATCCAGAACTGACCATCCAACATTACAGTACCTGGCCTCACTAACGCTCAGTCAAATCCTCACAGCAATGTTCCAACATCTAGTGTAAAGTCTGCCCAGCAGAGTAGAGGCTGTTACTGCAGTAAAGGGGTCAAACTCCTTTTAACTACTCTTGATTTTGGAAGAAACACTGGATAAGCAGGCGTCCACAAACTTTTGGCCATATAGTGTATATATGCTCCCGGAAAACATCCCAGAAGTCACATACACTAGTGTTCAAAAGTTTAGAATATGTGCTTGAACTTTTGTTGCAGATAAATATACAAAAACATTCTGATATGCTCACTTTGTGCAACTTCATATTTCAAATCATTAAGAAGCTGAAGGGGAACGTTTGTATTGTCCAGAAAGAACATTAAACAGTAAAATTTCAATGAATGAATTATCCAGAATGTCCTGTGTTTCTAGTGGTGGTTAAATCTCAAGACCAATAGCTTGACCTAAACAAATAAATACTTAGTGTATATTATTTATCATTGAATAATTTTATGTTGTTCCTAACTTGAAATTCTAAATGCTGAATAAAACATTTCATTCAATATTTCAAGTTGGACACAAAAGGAAATTATTCATTTACTAATTTATAATGTTTACATTTACACTGTACAGGTAACTGTACTGTACATAACATATATGGGTCCGAACCCAAACAAAACCTATTTCAGGCTCTATTTCACACTAACAGAATGAAAACAAAATGAAATTATTATTATTATTTTTTTAGAATTTTTGCATTATTCAATATATCAGATGCAAACAGTCATTCAGAGTGGTTTGGTTTAAAATGGTTCAGATTTCTTTACAGTGGTGGTGATAGGAACCAGGGGTCACCATGACTACAACACAAATATAGACATTTTAATTTACTACTATTTATGGGGACTATTTTGCCTCACAATGCCCTGCATGTATCCTTCCACCATGAAAAATACATTTTAAACAAAAACTTGCTTAAAACAATGTTACAGGCATCAAGCGATAGACTTGTAAACATTTCGTGCAATAACTTTCTGTGAGGGGGCTTTTGGAGGTCAGACGTCTGGTTCCTACCACCACCACTGTGATTAGTTCTGAGTCTAGAACAGAGGATTCAGGCCTCTCTGAATGACTTTGTTTACATCTTAACCACATAATTATGCAGAGCTTTTGGGAAATCGGTGGAATTCCAATTTAAAGATGCAGCTCCAATAGTGCTACACTCTCTCTCTCTCTCTCTCTCTCTCTCTCTCTCTCTCTCTCTCTCTCTCTCTCTAAATGTCTCTGTTTACATGTGACTTATTGTGATTATAGGAAATCATAGTAGCAGTCACAGTGTTGTATTGGATCGGGTGGAGACCGAAATACTCTCACTCCCTCAAGTGCTTTTTTTTTTATTATTGTTAGTATTATTTTTATTTTGAGACAGTGGTTGTATTGCACTAAAGCTTTAGAATCCACACCCATTCACACAGCACATGGACGTTTTCTGTTTTTTGTCTATGGAACATTGCACTTTCTACTGTAACTCTCAGCCATATATTTAGTACAAATTTATCATGGGTCTTATCTGTAAGGCTTTGTTCAGACTGCAGGCGAATCAGATTCGTTTCCACTCAAATCAGATCTTTTGAGGTGACTGTCCACACTATTATTTGCGAGTGATAAGATCGGATTTGTGTGTCCAGACATCACCTGCCGATCTGCATGGGTTGCCGTGGTAACGATGTAGGCGTCAGTTACTACATAGCTACACTGGTGACGTGGATTTCAAATGCGGATGCTGGAGAGATGGAGGTGCATCATCTCGCACTCTAAACTCTTCAGAATTCTCTGGAATAAGCATGAATCTTTGGCGCTCTTCTTGAGTCTCAGCACTTCCATCACTCTTGATTTGACATTGTCAAAAGACACTTTAAAATCCGATTTGATCGTCCAGAGCGTCCAGACTCAGCATTTCAAACCAACTTCCAAATGTGGTTTGGGTCGATTTGCAAAAATGGGATTTAATGTGGTTTTTAGCTGTCCAGACTATCAAACGTCACTCTGGATACAATCTGGATATGCCAAAAATGGGATTTCATGTGCTTTTTAGCTGTCCAGACTATCAAAAAATGGGATTTCATGTGGTTTTTAGCTGTCTAGACTATGAAACATCGACCTGGGTATGCCAAAAATTGCATTTCATGTGGTTTTTAGCCATCCAGATTATCGAATGTCAATCTGGATACAATCTGGATATGTCAGAAATAGGATTTTACGTGGTTTTAGCTGTCCAGACTATCGAATGTCAGTCTGGATACAATCTGTATATGCTAGAAATTGGATTTCATGTGCTTTTTAGTCATCCAGACTATCAAACATCAATCTGGATACAATCTGGATATGCCAAAAAATTGGATTTCATGTGCTTTTTAGCTGTCCAGACTATCGAACATCAATCTGGATACAATCTGGATATGCCAAAAAATTGGATTTCATGTGCTTTTTAGCTGTCCAGACTATCGAACATCAATCTGGATACAATCTGGATATGCCAAAAAAAATCAGATTTGGGCTGGCAGTCTGAACACGGCCTTAGAATCAACTTTATGTGTACAGAGAGAGAGACTTTTATCGCTATGACTCATATTTTGGACTGTATGTGATGAAAAACTACTTGCTTGTAATTAACGTTTGCCCAGTATCGTACTCTGAATGAAGTTACAAAATCTGAATGAAATATTCTTCGTTGTATGTTCTCGGTAGACGAGTCCTGTGCATATCAGACTTCTTTTATAAACTGACAGAACGTGTATTGTCTAATCGGAGTGTCCTAATATTACCAAAACAAAGGTATATCATATGCCACTATGCCATACTCTGTACCCTGTCTTTGTTTTGTTGAGCTGCTTGCTTCCTCTGTGTGTTTTATTTCGTCTGCTATGCAGAGACACTGCAGTTTCGCATGACTTTGATCTTTTTAAAGTCATTCCCTTTTATCTACTTTGCTGTTTTTCTGTCGTCGTTGCTCCTGCTGGTCGAATGAGTGATTATTAGAAGTGATAAAGGAGAGAAGAGCCTTATTTACAGTATTAATCAGTTCAGACATCAAATAGATCTGATCCAGAATGAACCCTTTGTGCTCAGGATACGTCTGCTTTCCAGGAAACCCTCTATTAACTAGTGGAATATTAAAGGACTCCAACGTTTTTCAGCTTAACCTCTATGTGCTGCATCTGTAGTGCACGGTTGATTACCATGAACAGTTATTCATGTGTCATGTATTCATGTGTGCATGTCTTCAATTCAAAACTCATGTATAATCGAAGTCAGTAGGCAGTTGCTGAATTGTATTTCTGTGTTTGTTAATTAAGCAGTAAATCTGTACAAGTGGTTCAGAGATGGGACTAGTTTTCCAGAGGGAAGAATTTGTGGTCATTCCTGATCATTATAGAACCCAGAAAACTTTATAGAAAGTACACTAAAAAAAGATGGTTCTTTAAAGGTTCTTTGTTGAAGGCAGTGGTTCAATATAGAACTATAGAAACTATTCTCAAAGAACTATTGGCATGTTTAAATGTTTCTTAGCATGCTGAAATGGTTCTTGAGATTGGTGAAGAATGTGTTGTGTATGGTTCTGTATAGCACCAAAAAGGGTTCTGCTACTGTTACGATGTCTAGCTTGTAACAATAGGCCAAACCTTTTTAGTTTTAAAAAGGTTCTATATAGAATCATATACAGCTCATTCTTCATTTATTTGAAGAACTATGAGTGTTCCTGGCTCTACATACAGCCATTGTCTTTACTAAAACGTGTTGAAGAACCATCTTTTTTCTGAGTGCAACTAGGAACCACTTTTCTGCCACACTGTTGAAACAAAACCTTGTATCTCCATTTTTGTCGTTTTTCAGTTTTTGACATTTAAAAATGCCTGTTGCTCTTTACATTGTGTGAACATTTCATGATGATTGAACCAAAAGACATGGCCCGGAATTACTTGGGGAAAAAAGTCTGGTTCCATTGATCTACATTAAAAGTAGAGTAAGTTTTTTCCTTCTCCTGTAAAAGTTATAATTTTGGAAATATGAGCTTTTGTTCTGACAACAGCGTCCATGGTGACAGAGACAGTTGGTCATCTAAGACGATGAATTCAGTTTTTTTTTTTTTTAGTAATTCTTTTACACTTTGGCTTTTGTTGTGATTTTTTTTTTTGCATTTTATAAACTGAGTGTACAGATGGCGTCGGCCTGTCTTTTGCGTATCGAGTTGAGTTTTCAGACCTGAAGTTCTTGAGTGAACACAGATTTAAAATCTTGTGTCAAAGGTTCCTCAGAGATGAAGTACTTACAGGCAGCTGATTTGTTCACTGTTGATCTGCTGCTCAAACTGCTTGAGCACATCTGTGCTGACCATTTTTATGATAATGAAATTTGATATGTTGCGGTCACTGTATTGTGGCCAATCAAAATCTGCCAGGCTCTGTCTTTTTTCCTCAACCTTCCAATCACTGCTTAGCAACATTATTATCCACAGTTGCTTCAGTACATAATCAGCACCTGTCTTGTTTGTAACTGGCATTAGGACACCAAGGTCCTCGTAGGTTTCGTAAGGGTTTCAAGAGATTCAGTGCAGACAAAAGTGGCGTAACTACCCACTGAGTGGGGACTGGTTCTCAGCTGACCGCAGAACAGCTGTGGTTTGGCCCTAGACTTGACTGCCCGTTGGTATAACACTCATATTCAGCAGTTCGTTTATTTACTATTAGAAGTATGTTACATTTCTGCAAAATTTTGATCCTAGATATGGCCCTATATACATTTACTTGCAAAATTCAGCTACTGCCCACTGGCTTCTATTATGACTGAGTTGTATTAAGTGTATTTTTTCATGTCCAGGGAAACATGCTGAAATTATTGTCTCTGCTAAATGACCACATGATACAGATGCAGCAGGTAGAGATTAGGTTGAAAAATGTTTTATACACACTTAAAGACGGTTCTTCAAGGGTTCTTTAGTAAAGAAAATGGTTCTATATAGGACCATGAACACTTAAAGAACCCTTTGCATAATTAAAGGGTCTTTACATTGTGAAATATTCTTCAGGCAGATGGAGAATGTGCTGTAGATGGTTCTGTATAGAACCTTTTTAAAAGGGTTCTATGTAGCACCAAAAAGGGTTATTCTGTTGTTACGATGTCAAGCTTTTAACAGTAGCATATAAAACATATTCTCCATCAATCTGAAGAACGCTTTCATGATGCAAAGAACCCTTTAATCATGCATAGGGTTCTTTGTGTGTTCATGCTCCTATATAGAACCCTTGAAGAACCATCTTTGTTGAGTGTGTAGTTTTTATTTTATTTCTACAGCTGTGACTGAATCGGTAAAATGAGACGAGCAGCAGTGACACAGGCGTTAATGTGAATCCTCTTTCATTCTGCTCTGGTGCTCAGACGGGTTTAGCTTGAATGAACTATTTCCAGTTAAAACACATAGTGGACCGTTCACTAACAAACACTACTGACCCTTTCCTTTCCTTTACATGTTTCGTCCTGTGTCTTTCCAGCATTTTTACTTTTGTCCCAGTTTCTGTCACTACAGTACTCAGTCAGGAGAGGAGAGAGGGACACAGATGAAATGTTTTTTTTTGTTGTTGTTGTTCTTTTTGCTCTCCTTAGTATAATTTATACAGAAAGTGTTTTATAGATGTAAATGAATATATTACATACTGTATATTGCATAAATAAATGACAAATACTGTATAATTGTTGAGATTGATATTTGTCGTATTGTTTATTTCACAAACACATATTTTACCCCCTTAAACTGTGAGAATCTGTGATTCTACATTACATCATTAGTTTCATGTAGATACTGAATAATCCATAGTATTACTGAATAATTCATAGTAGTTACTGAATAATTCAATAATTATTTTTTTAGGAAAAAATAAAAGAATTCTCCTTTGCAGTAAAATAAAGCTCTGCTGATCGTTCAAACAGTTTTAACAATAAATGGTCTGAAACGCTGGAGTTAATGTAGAACTGCTAATTTAATCTCGCCTAGCTAGTAGCTAACGAAATGACAGAGATTTACATAGATAATTTGGAGACGAATGGACTTGTTTGCATTTATAATCACTCCAGCTGGTTTCCTGATACGTTTAATTTGCTACGAGAAACTGTCAAACACTAAAAAGTTGCGAAGCTGAACTCTTCACATTGTCCCGTTTCACCTTAAATGGTGCAGCAGTTACATTCTGGTGCCTCAGGCACACTTTAAAGTGGAACAGGAGAAGTCAAACAAGTAGCTGGTGAATAAGAAGCGACTTCAGCCTCGTAAAAAGTCAAACGTTGAGAGACGTTTTACAAGAAACTGTTCTACTTTTGTGGAAAAGTTTCCTGCCGGATATGTGAGAAAAGCGTCTATAGCTGAGCTAAAGCTTAAAGCAGAGCAAAGTAAGTTGTTTTCGTTTATATTTTTTAGCCTATTCTAGTACATTAGCACACACTGAGACATATTCACAGCCAAGATGGCAAAATGGACATAAAATGTTGAGGCTCCAAATGTGGTCTGGTTTTTGTTGAAAGGGCAAAATGGCTCTTCTAAACAGTTAGGTTGCCGACCCCTGGCATATACTGAATAATTCGTACTAGATACTGAAAAATACATAATAGATACTTAATGATTCATAGTAGTTGCTGAATAATTTATATTAGATACTTAATTCATAGCATGTGCTAAATAATTAATAGGCCTACTAGTCACATGGTAGATGCTGAATAATTCATAGCAGATCCTGAAAATACATACTGAATATTTCATAGTAGATCATGAGTCATTCATATTAAATACTGAATAATACACATTATTCCACTTGGGCACATCTTTCTCTGATATTTTATGGACGTTGATGTACTAAAGATTCAACATTTAATCTAAGTCTGTACTCACATGAAGAGTTATATAATGACTAGATTTTTAATAAAGAACAGAGGGATGTAAAGTGCAGGTGGATGTAAATTAATAACTGTGTAATAAGCCATTAAGAGTTTATCGTGTTAAAAGAGCAGCAATTTATCCATTTGACTCCGCCTACAAATGTGCCCACTCTTGTGAAATTAAACAAGCTTTACAGAACACTGGTAAACATCGTATTCAACCAAATGAGAAACTGTAGCAGAGCCAAGTTTAGAGTATGTTGTTAATGTCAAATGTGTCTTTTTGTCAAGCTAACTTTAGCAAAGCAGCAAATTGGTTGTTGTTTCAAACCTGTCTGGTTTTGATTAGCTACAGAACAGTAGTCCAGCTCTGGAAACTCAGTGTTACATAGCGACTCTGTTTTGCCAGCATTCTGTTAAGATTTTCCCATCTAGAATCAGTGGCTACAAATGAATACACTTGTAAGTGAAACAGATGGATCAATTTAATCACAATACTCAGTTTTGAGATGGTGGTTGCATTGCACAAACTTAAGACTCACCATAAAGCTCATTAAGTCTGAATTGTTGATAACTATGGCCCAATCCCATTTCACCCAACGCCCCTACCGCTTAGCCTGTTCACATCTAGGGGGAGGGTGTCCCAATTCTTGTTGAGATAGAGCGGTAGGGCAAATGTTAGGGCTACATTGCCCTGCAAACTGAGATTTTTCAGAGGCACACTTCAAACAGAGTGTTATGAGAAAAAAAGAAAAGCACCAAGGTGGCTGAACAAGCAACCGAAGAAACCCACAAATGTGAGTATTTACTAAGGATTATGATAACCATTGTATTACTTTAGTTTAATGTCATTTCATTGTATTTTGATCTTTTTCTTGATAACAAGCATAAAAAAATTGCTAGTAGTAGCTGATGTCTCGGTAGCTAGCTAGCTAAATTTCCTGTTCCACCTTAAATGGTGTTTAAAAGGTGGAACAGGAAATTTTGAATATGAAGATGGTGAATATCTGACTTCAGCTTCATATTACTGAAGAATTAGGGGGGGGTGATGATAAATAATTGTTGCATTCAACCACCCCCTTTAAAGGCATATGATTCCCTAAATGTAACTAAAGCCCAGCGGTGAGGTTGCTGAACTTTACCCTCCTCTGCTGTCACTGCAGACTGGCAGGGTCACCTACAGAGCAGCGCTAGTTGTCTGTTAATGAAGTAATGTTCTTTTTATTTGAGGGCCCCTTTTTGTAGAGGAAGATTTCAACCACTACCCATTGTAACTCCAAGCCACAAGGTGACACTCGAAAACAAGGGGTAGGGGTAAAAATAAGAAATGGAATTGGGCCTTTCAGTCATTTTTTAGTGACTAAGTTTATATCCACACCTCAGCACCTCTTGATTTGGTTGATTTTCCTTTATGCGGCTGTATTTTCCCATTTGGGTTGTGTACATCTTTCTGCACCGAGTCTTCTCTTCTTTCTTTGACTGGAGAACAGTTTCCAGCACACGTCCAATCAGGCCGATGATCCAGCACCAGGTCCAGTGTTGGCAGAGAAGTGGTGCTGGTCACTTCTCTGAAGGTCAGAGAGGTCATAGACCGTCCATCATGATTTGTGGCCCCATAACCGTCCTTCATGCTCATGGACTTTTTGATCTTCTTCCAGCCAAGGTGGTTGAGCTCCAGGAAGTTGAGGAAGATGCAGAAGGCTCCCACAGAGAACATGAACACCAGAAAGATGGTCTTCTCTGTCGGCCGCGAGACGTAGCAGTCCACTCTTTGGGAACAAGGTGGGACGGTGCAGACAAAGTGAGCCGGAACATGGAATCCAAACAGAAGCCACTGGGTGACGAGGAAGCCCACCTCCAGCATGGCCCGGAAACACACGTGAAAGACGTAGATTTTGGACAGAACTCCTGAAGAGCTTCCATCTGGAGCTCCATGATCTACAGAGCAAGTCAAGGACACACATGCATTTTTCTGGCCGTTCCTCTGGCCGTTGCGGGCTCCAATCTCTTCCAGGACATTGACCAGGCTGTGGCCCAGGTGCCTGTGGGATGTAATGGAGCAGCTGTCAGAGTCACAGCTCAAACCACAAGCCTCTTTGGCAGGGGAGCAAGTCAGGGACACACAGGCGCTCTTCTGGACGTTCCTCTGGATGCTCTGGGCTCCAATGCCCTCCAACACATCGGCCAGGCTTTGGCCCAGGCTCTTGTGGGACCTGAGGAAATTGAATCAAATCAACACCGGTGAAAACTTTTTCTTTATTTACTTTATTCAATTCAATTACTGAATTATTATTTCGTAGCTATTAGCACAGTTGTACATACAGTAAAATATTCATACATGACTTATAAGGTCTCAGAACATACATTTCAGTTTCATACAACAGAAAAAAAAATAGCAGTTATTGAATAATGTATACTATATACTGAATAATTCATATTTGTTGGTGAATTTGTTTTATAGATGTGAATGAATACATACTGTATATTGCATAAATAAATGACAAATACTGTATAATTGTTGAGATTGATATTTGTCGTACTGTTTATTTCACAAACACATTTTAACCCCTTAAACTCTGAGGATCTGTGAGGAGTTTTACACTGTAGAACATTATTTTTTATGTAGATACTGAATAATTAATAGCATTTATAATTTATAGCAATTACTAAATAATTCATACAAATTACTGAATAAGTCACAGAAGTTGCTGAATAGTTCGTAGTAGTTTCTGAATATTTCATAGCAGTTACTTAATAAGTCATGGTCCTTACTTAATAATTTATAGTAATTACTGAATACTGAATTAGTGAATAATTTAAAGTACATACTGACAAATTCATAGTATTTTCAGAATAATTCATAGTAGTTACTGCTTAATTTATAGTAGATACTGAATACTTTCTAAATGTTACTGAATAATTGATTGTGGATACTGAATAATTCATAGTAGATACTGAATAACAGAGCAGATGCTGAATAATTCACAGTAGATACTGAATAATTTATACTAGATACTTCATTATTCATCAACGTTGCTGAATAATAAATGCTATGATTAATAACTGAATAAGCCTTGACATAGTTGAAATATTTTTGGGCGGTTAATAAAATGTTATTTATTATAATATCACAGTATTTTCTAGATATATAATGGAATTTGGTCATATTTAAGTCAGCATTAACAAAGTTAATGAGCCCATGCTTTCTGAGTGCTGCTACTCAATCCTAACAAAATGTCCTACAAACCTGACAGAGCTTTGATTGGATGGTTTTACTGCGTTTTATTATATACAAATTATGACAAAGAGAAGTTTAAATTGTCTAAAACACTCAACAAATAACAATTAGTAAATTCTTTGTTATGTATCCATATTACTAAAACTAAAAATCAGTGTTGTCTGATATATCGATAAATCGTTATACCGATATAACCGATATATTTCCCAGCTCTTTCTTAACGCTTTTGCTTTGAGAGAGGAAGTATCACTCACTGCCCAGGTGTTGGTGCCCGCTTGGCCAGGTTGTGCCAGGTGTAGATGATGAAGCAGAGTGATGGCGTGGAGACGGCAATGATGTGGAAAACCCAGAATCGCGGCTGAGAAATGGGCGCAAAGGCATCGTAGCACACGTTCAGACAACCCGGCTGCAGCGTATCGCACACAAACATCTCCTGCTCATCCGCGTACACGTCCTCCGCCGCCACAGCGACCACCAGAAGCCGGAAGATGACCATCACGGTCAGCCAGAGGCGGCCGATCATGGTGGAGTGCTGGTGCACGGCGTCCAGCAGGCGCTTCAGCAGAGTCCACTCGGTCATGGCTCTGAGAGGCCGATGAAGTAAGCCCCAGTAGAGCACCTCAAATAGATCCACTCTAGTGTCCATCGCTGCCCAGAGCCATCCCTTCTTCATTCAGAGATAAGAGCCCCAACACCGGCCACTTCACATGGTCACATGGTGCCTTCTCCTGTCCTCTTGTCTTCAGAGCTACGTTTAAAAACGTCCGGGGAGACGAGACGGCACTCTCCTACTTTAGATAGCGCTCTGATAGCGGCAGCCGATTGAGTTCTTTTTAGCCCACCGGCGTCCGAAGATACAGGGAGCTTCCTTTAAAAGGGCACATGTTTAAAAATATGCTTTAGATAACAGATGCTTTTATATATGCTGCTAAACTGTTTTCAGATTTGTCAAATGCTTGTAAAGGTCTTTCATAGTAAGTGCAGGCAGTGCTGGACTAGTGTGTGATAAGTCAGTGCCACTGACCAGGGCCGGTTCCTTCCTTCATTCATTAAAGGATTTTTCCAACATTATTCAATGGTTGAGATGTAAACAGAGTGATTCAGAGTGGTTTGGTGTGAAATGGTTCAGATTTCTTTACAGTGGTGGTGATAGGAACCAGGGGTCGCCATGACTACAACACTAATATAGATATTTTATTTACTATCCAAAACCACCAGTGAACCTACACATGTCCTCTGTGTTTTATATAGAATGTTTATGATGGGAAAAAATGTCTGGTTCCTGTCACCACCACTGTGAACAATTCTGACTTGGTCAGTTTCTCTAGAACAGAGCATTTGACCCCAAACCACTCTGAATGACTCTGTTTAAATCTTAACCATTTGCAAAAATTTAGAAAAATCAGAGTGGCTTGATGTGGAACCAGACATCTGAAGAGTTTAACACCCCTAAAAGCTCCCTCACAGAAAGTTATTACATGAAATGTTTATAAATATGCTGCCTGATGTCTCAGAATTGCCGAATAAATTTATCTACTATAGTTTTGACAAAGTTTTGGCCTAAAACATATTTGTAAAATCCATTCATGGTGGAGGGATACATGCAGTCCCCAAAGAAAATGTATTATTTTGGATTATCCACTATTTTTCCATCATCAACATTCTATATAAAATCAGAAGACGTGTGTAGGTTCACTGGTGGTTTTGGATAGTAAATAAAATGTCTATATTTATATTGTAGTCATGGCGACCACTGGTTCCCATCACCACCACTGTAAAGAAATCTGAACCATTTCACACCAAACCACTCTGAATGACTCTGTTTACATCTCCAACACTCAATAATGCAGAATTTTTGAAAAAATTCTCTTTAATAAAAGACAATGATGCAGCTTTTTGGTTTCCTGCTTAATTTTTACCAAATTACCACACTTTATCTTCACCAGCCATGTTAAAGACTGGACACCTACTGCAGTGGACAGACAAGGAGCTTTTTCATGTTTTATTTTGTTTTATTTCTGTGGTGTCTGGATCTCCTCCTGTGCTGTCTCAGAAATGTCAAAGGAATTATTCACCCTATCACTCCGTTCATGAAGGAATTCAACAATGACCATCCCCACAGGCCTTTTGAGAACTGAATAGCAGACAGGATTAACGAGAGGGGGGAGGTAGAGAGAGAGAGAGTCAGGAGAGAGAAAAAGATAGTGAGTGGCAGAAAGAGAGAGATGTGTGTGAGTGAGAGCATATGAGAAGATAGAGAATGGAGGGGTAGAGAAGGCAAGAGAGAAAGGCAAAAGGAGGAGTCAGAGAAAAACAAAAAGACAAAAAGAGCAAAGGGAAAAAGAAAGTGAGAGTATGAGAAGGTAGAGAAAGCAAGAGAGAAAAGGGAGAAAGAAAAACTGAGACAGAGGGTAAGGGAGCATGAGAGAGTGAGAGAGGGAGGGGCGGCACACAGAGAGAGAGATAGATGGTAGAGAGAAAGGGAGGGCGAGAGAGAGAGTGAAGGGGTTGGAGAGACAGAGGAAGGAGAGAAAGAGAAAGAATTGGCAAGACAGAGAAAGTGAGAGAATGATGGGCAAGAGAAACCGATAGTAAGTGCCAAAAAGAGAGAAAGAGATGTGTGAGAGAGAGAATATGAGAGATATAGTGAGAAAGTGTGAGGATGAGAGGTAAAGAAGTCAAGAGAAAAAGGCAAAGGAAAGAGAGAAAGAGAGAGAGAGAAACAGGAGGACAGAAAGGGTAGCGGGAAAGAAAAAGTGAGAGAGAGTGAGATAGTAGAGAATATGAGAGAGAAAGGCAAAAGGGGGAGAGTGAAAAACAGAGAAAAAGACAGTAAGGGAGAATGAGAGAGTGAGAGAGAAAGGGCAGGCCAGAGAGAGAGTGAAGGTGTTGGAAAGACAGAGGAAGGAGAGAGAAAAAGAGAATCTGCAAGAGAGAAAGAGATGTGTGTGAGAGAGAGATGGTAGAGAGAGAGAATACAAGAGATATAGCGAGAAAGTGAGCGAATGAGATGGTAGAGAAGGTGAGAGAGAAAGGCAAAAGGGGGGGAGAGAGAGAGAGAGTAAAAGACAAAAAGGCACGGTAAGAAACAGAGAAAGTGAAGGAGAGTGAGAGGGTGAGAGAGGAAGGGAAGGCAGAGAGAGAGAGAGGTCTTATCTTTTGTCAGAAGTGAAATCCTCTGCAAACACACTGAGTCTCCTGCGTTTCCTCTTCTGCTCTTTCATCTGCGCTTTACTGCAAACGCAGACAAGCAGCAGGCCATGAATCTGAATGGAAGTGACCGGCTGCCCTCACGGCTGATTTCCCTAAGCTCTCTGTGGTGGGAGTTCACTTTCTCACGTTTTGGGGGAAATTACTCGTTCTTCTTTTCTTCTATTCTCTTTCACGACTGTCTGGTTATGGCATTAAAGCTCCATGTTTCTACATCTACAATATCTGTCTGCCTCAGAGGCCATATGCCTGTGTCTGGAGGATTTACATAAATACCATCTCGGACAAAAATAGACCAAAGGCTGGACATAACCACAACCACAGTTGATCACCTTGCTATACAGAGCTCAACACAAGACATTTGGGATGAAAATAATAGTTTTGCAAAAAAATCTAATTCAATTTTCCGCATCTTGCTCCAAATGTAGTTGATTAGCCAAGACATGTTTGGTGTCTGGTTTCCTTCTTTATTTTAGCACTGGTGCTAAAGGCTAATCGACAAAATACAATATACAGGCTTTGAGCCAAGTGTGTGCATGCAGTTAGCACAATGCTAACTGCACCCAGATAACAAGAATACAGTGGGCCACTGTTGGCCCACTGACAGCAAAGCTGGTGGCCCGCTGGCTTTTTGCTCAGCATTTTCTGGGCAGTCCACTAGTGATTATGCAGAATATTAGACAAAATGCTACTTTTCATTACTTGTTTTCACGTCTTTTTCATGTCCCTTCCTCCTCTGTAGCATCCCTACTCAGAACATTGTTTCTTCTGTTTAAAAAGCTCCTTTAATATAAAGTTCTATACTGAAAATACTGAATTTAAGGGTATATGATCTGATACAGCCAGAGGATCAATATATGCTTGCTTTCCGGCACATTAGACTTATAGTTCCTGTTCAAAACTAAAGAAGCAAATTTCAGACATCAAACATGTCTTGGCTGATCAACTAAATTTGGTGTAAGAGTGGAAACTGAGTAAATTTGCTGAACTATTCCTTTAATGCACTAATTCTCTAACACCCTGATTACCTGTTTGACTAATTAGTGGTTAAATGAACAATACGCCTGCAGTTTATTAAGAAACTCTATACACAATCATTCAAAACATTATGTCACACTTCTCTGTAAACCAGCTGAAAGGAAAAATGATTTTAGCAAGTGATCAAGGATTAAACCACCACTAAAACTAGGCCAAGACTACTGCGTTCATCTCCTGTAAACACTTTCAGGCATTCTTATAGTTTTGTAGAAGTGCTTAGCAACTTGCGTCCACTCTGTGGAGCCAAAATAGCATATGTTCATAATGTAATGAATGAAAATGAGTAGCAAACCAGTTAGGATTAGAGAAATTACTTCTCTATTAACACTCAGTGTTATAGCTTTCAAAGCATTTACTGACATGGTTGTGTTGTAGATGCCTTAAGAGGTTTTAAACCCAGTGTGGGAAAACAAATGGGTGCCACCATTAGCTCGATGCTAACACAACACAGAAAATTGCATAGGCACTAGCAGAAATTAGTATCACTGTTACAGTGAAAATTTAGCAAGCAAAAATTTGTTTAAACAGCATTAAATTGCTATTATATGACATTTTCATTATTATATGACAAAAAAATCCTGTATACAGTGATTTGTGACAGGTTCCTGCAAAAAAAAAACACACGGACCAGCATGTATTTCAATCTGGTATAGGCTGGTTTGTGCTGGTCTGGTGCTGGTTCAGCAGGTCACTCAGCATGGTCATGCTAGTTGACCAGCATGCAAAACACAGCCTATGCTGGTTTTTCTAGTAGGGATGCATATTTTGATTCCATATAAGTGAACTTAAAAGGACAGTCTGATTAATCTGAATCTGAATGTGTGCACAATTTAAACGTGAATGGCTAAAAGTACATTAGAATATATTCAACACAACACACAACACTTTTTCAGCATAACTATCCTAAGTATGAATTTATGTGCACTCGCAAAATCTGGGTAAATGAAGGCTATTGGCAGTGACTAACTGGATTAGGGTGGTTTGGGCAAGGAGCTGCGTCTATAGTCTAACAGTGCTGATGTGAAAGGGATTTCCATCGGGCTCGTCTGCCCCCGTGCTAATCCCCGACTATTCTCACCAATGACCTTCAGCTCAATACTAATCTGACTAGCTAAAAGAAAGTGTCTGGGGAGAGTGAGAAGAAAGAGAAAGACAGAGAAGGAGAGAGAGAGTCAGTTCCACTCTGCTCCAGGCCTCTGGGGAAACCTACACTATTAGAGCGTGTTTATGGATTGTGTGAGATATGCTGCGGCTGTTTTACGTGAGGAAATCACGACCGCTACATGACCCGGCCGGGACGGATGAATGAAGCTGAGTCTCTCCAGGGCTTTGGGACCTTCTCCTGCATGTTCCTCCTTCACTTTGTACACAGGTGAAGCTGCATGGCAGACTGGTAAGAGTTTTTGAATGGTCATCACTTCCTGCACACACTTAAAAAGATGGTCCTTCAAGTGTTCTTTGGTTCTGTTTAGGACCATAAGTTCTGTGAGTTGTATATGGTTCTATATAGCACCAAACAGAATTCTGTTACTATTATGATACCAAGCTTATAACAATAGAAAAACCTATTTTGGTGCTATATAGAACCATTTTCAAAAAGGTTCTGTATAGAATCATATACAACACATTCTCCATCAATCCGAAGAACCAATTCACCATGCAAAGAACCATTTAAGGATGAAGTTTACTAAAGAACCCATGAAGAACCATCTTTTGTTAAGTGTGCACTGTAATGAAACATGAATGTATAATCTAAAAAAAAAACAGTTTTACTCCTATATTCCCAAGTTTATTGCATCCTAAGGATTATTATGGATATAAGGATATACTTATTGAAAGTAATGCGTTACTTAAGAGTTATTCTCAAGTTACAGAAGTGAGAAATGGAAGCCAGGACATTTGAAAATTTTACTTTTTTGCATTGTTAATTGGGTAAGATGTAAACAAAGTCATTCAAAGTGGATTGATGTGAAATGCTCTTCTACAGAAAGTCAGAACTGTTCACAGTGGTGGTGGTAGGAACCAGACGTTCACCTCTAAAAGCTCCCTCACAGAGAAGTTTTACCATCTTTTGGCCCAAAACACACGAGATACATGCAGGATGTTGTAAGGCCAAATAGTCCCCCAAAAAACTTATTTTTCAGATTTATCACTATTTTACCATCACCAACATTCCATATAAAACTCTGAAGACACGTGTAGGTTCACTGGTGGTTTTGGATAGTAAATAAAATGTCTATATTTGTATTGTAGTCATGGCAACCCCTGGTTCCTATCACCAACACTGTAAAGAAATGTGAACCATTTCACACGAAAACATTCTGAATGACACTGTTTACATCTCAACCACTGAATTATGCAGAAATTTTGAAAAATCAGTGTAATTCCTCTTTAATATGTAAGACATTATGGGTTTAAAAGAACTAAAAACCACATGATTACTTCTAAAAGTAAGTATTCTGTTGTATAACACTAGTGCTTATTTGCTGTTGCAGGAAAGCTTTCTCTAAATTTGCTCTCAAATTGGGAATCACTTCTATATATAAGATCCATAATAATAGTACACAAAACTATAGGATTTCTTTAGATTTGTCTAATATTTTTACAATAATCTGTATTATTTTATTTATATTATTCTGTATAATATCACTACAATGCTGTTTTATGGGAATCTATAATATGTATAGCACCCTGTAGTATGCTGTCATATTGTATGAATTTACTGTGTGATTTTTGTGTAAATTCCTGTAGATCTTTTTCATAAGTGGAACAGCTCAGCTGAACACTGACACATTTATAAGTGTTACAGACAAGTATTTAGAATTACAGTGTGGGATTAATTATTGGATCATCATAAAAGCATCTGTGTCCAAAGTTGCTCAGTCAAATCAGGCCCACAGTCAGTTGTATATCTGTCAGTCAACTGTGAAAAGATTTTTCAAATGCAGGCAACATACAACGTGGGCCTGGTGTTAGCTTATTTAAATAAAGAATGGAAAACATTGAACGTATTGAAAGTTTGTATGTTGAGCTTCAGCGTGGTTCAGCTGGTTTTTTAGCAGGGAGGTGCTGTGGGAATGTTCGGGCCTGAAAGCACTGGTGGTATTGGAGCATGATTGGATGCCAATCATCTTAAATCTACTGCTTTTAACTCAGTTACATCAACAACTCAGAAAACGCATCAGCATGCTGTTATAACAGTTCACTGAAATCTTAAATATTATCATTCAACTTTCTTTGAGTGCTCGACCAAATCACAGCCTGATTTGTTACAATGTATGAGTCATTCACAGCTGCAGTCACTAATTACACTGACAGCATCACTGAAAATAGCTTTGTCAAAATTGACCATCAGTGATTGAGCTTAAAGGTGCAGTGTGTAAGATTTAGGGGGATATATTAGCAGGAATGGAATATAGTAAACAAAACCATGTTTTCATTAGTTTATAATCACATGTAACTATGAATCGTTGTGTTTTCGTTCGCTTAGAATGAGCCCTTCATGTCAAAGTTCTTTGCAACACTGCCGGGCAGTTATTTCCAGCCATACAAAACCTGGGGCCATATTACAGAAAATTCTTAAGTCTGAGATCTGCTTTGTTGTCATGGCAACTTCAGTTAAGACTGAAGTTAGGACAGAAGCCATTACAGAACAACAGTTCTTAAGTCTATAATCTTATTCCCAGATAAGAAAACAATACAGAAACATCCTAAGTTGCCAAAATATCCTACATATTTTCTTAACTTCAAGATAAACCCCAGAGCGTCTTCTGTTTTAATCGTCTGTTTCTATTGTTTTATGCAGTGATAGACAGCATAGTTCACTATAAGTAGCATAATGACGTCACATTTATCTACACTGGAAAACGGTGCTTTGACTTGAGTTTTTTTTTTCTAACAGTGTTTAAAACCCCCAGACGCTGCAGACTCGATCTCCGCCATCCCCTCTTATTACTGTTGTGAGTTAATGTTGATAAAAACTCGTCAGATAAAATATTCCAGTGATGGTGGTGAATAATGAGGAGACAGAGCTGAATGTGTGTCTGTTTATTAGGAGGAATAACGTTAGCGCGCTCGGCTAAAGCGTTTGAAAAATGAAACTGAAACTGTGAAGCGGCGACTCTGATAAACAGAACAAAGCACTGACACAATATTCTTAACTTTCAATTTATCGCGTTTTAGTTTTATTTGACTTTCTTTGCACCAGTAACGGCAGCTGTCCGACTAACTAGCTTGTTTACGCATTTACGTTTCAGCTGTTCGCGTATGGTCGGTTGCTAGGTAACAGACACGACAGTTGATTGTCGACTTCAGTCAAGTAAGTTAGCATTTCCTAACTTGAGATAAGAAAAGATGCTGTAAGATTCTTAAGTTAAGATAACATTTGCTTCTGTAATGCGAATTTGTAAAACTTAGCTTAACCTCTCAGAACAAAAAGATAAGAATTGTCTGCTCCAGGCTACTACCTTGTTGAATGTGGAGATACCTAAATATTCGAAACTAAAGGTCAGATTACTGTTTCCAAAACATATTTGAAATCACTAATCAAATCTGACAAAAACCTCATAAGTAGTGTGTAGCTTTTGGCTCAGGAATGCTTTTTCGGGTTGTTCTGGCTACTGTGGTTGCACAGATCTCCACAACGAGAGTGGGCTTTCCCCTCTCATGGAGTAACCAGCAAGCTGATTGGCTCTTTTTCTTGAAGGGTGGGACTTTCTCTGTAATTAGATGCCATGTTGAGCTTTACTAGCTTTCCCATTCATATTTCAACCAGTGGTCGGTCTCCTCATTTATAACATCCCTGTTCATATCTACATAGTGAGCGGCTCCTCTACCAACAGAGGACGCCATGTTGCGCCGCCATGTTTCTACAGTAGCCCAGAACAGACAAACCGAACACTGGCTACAGAGGGTGCCTTTTGGGTTTTTACACTGAAGCGGCCGTTTGAATTTGGTGACGCCGTAGCTCCAGTAGGAAGACGTAGAAAGAAGAAGAATCAGTGGTTGCTGTAGGTGCTGGCTGACCATTTTGTGTTGTGAGAAGATTGAGAACCCAAATTTTGACAGTTGAGGATCAGACTTATTATGTAGCACAAGATAAAGTGAAGGATGGTGAATCCTCACTGTCAAAGAAGAGAAAACATGAAGATGCGAAACGAAATCAGGACAGGCGATGACAGAAAACCTGAGAGCCACCGAAGGTTCTACTACATGCTTGAAAAGGGAGGGCGAGGAAGGGGGGTTCTGATGGTTGCAATCTGCAACATCACCACTAGATCGCAATAAATCTTACACACTGCACCTTTAAATAAATAGCTCAATCCGCTTTTAGACTTGTAATGCTGTCTATGTGTCTGATTCTTCTCTCTCTCTGTCTCAGTGAAGGTGTGAGGTATGAGGGGTGGTGTATGTAGAGGCCATGCAGGGTGAGGAGTGGTCAGCAGCGCCTGATTCTGGTCCTGCAGGACTGGAGAAAGCAGAGACGGAGCATGAAGCAGAAGAGAGCCCCACAACCCTGGTGCAGGAGGTCAGCCAGTGTCCAGCTAATGTACCCTCCATGGTACCAGCAACCAGCTGCAGCAGGTGGGTCAGATCTCAATGTTTGTAAGGTTTCACCACATCTTAAAGGGACAGTTCAGCAAAAAATGAAACATACAGTTTCTCTTCTTTACCCCAAGTTTACTTTTTGAAGTTTCTTTGGATTTGGACTACTGGGCTAATGTAGCTAACAAGTAACGGAGGTTCATACCCCACCGATATTAGCATGGTGCTAACTGCATGCATCAATCATCATACAAATCCATAGAAGTAGATGACACAGTTTGGCCTAGAAAGACAGCTATTTTACAGTCGTTAAGGTAAAAACACAGATGCTAATTGTCTGCTAATGTTATTAGCTTAGCCTCATTGGAATGTATTTCACCTTGTACCTTTTAGCTGGACAACAGTGAGTTAGTGAAGAGGTGGTTAACTGATACTAAACTTGATAAATGATGTTGAAACCTTTATTACCAGTAGAGTATCAAATGAACTTGATCTTGTTTATCATGGCTTCTCTGTAAAGCTTCCTATGTGCTATAACGGCACTTTGTACTATCTGCAGTGGGCCACTTCTCGTCCACAGTGTGGTAGTCTTCTCTATTCTGACTAGAATAACACAGGCTCTACAGTGCCCCCTGGTGGAGTACAGAGTTCAGACACTCCATGGTTCTTTTCTTTTTTTTTCCCTTGAGGTCCACTTGTGAGGTCAAATTGTGTTTTGTATACAATTTATTTTATATACCAAAAATGGTCATAATTCATGTTCACATGAACTTTTTCCAACCTCTTGCTGTCCCTTAGAATTATACCGTTTTAGTTACTGTGCTTATAAGACTGATATATGTAAATGAGCTCTGTTCTGAATGGCTTCTCTGAATTGTGCCTCATTCAAAAAGCACTCTGAGCTGAAACACTGCTTCAGTGTGAGCGGGCAGAGTTTAACTGCTATAGGCTAAAAAGGTGGATACATGTAAATGACTCAGTTTTTGTGACATCACAGAAACAATGAATTGAAAGCATGTTGTTTTTGCAGCATGGTTTCCATGTATGGACTGAATGGAGTGAATAGTGAATGGTACGTTTTGAAACTTTGAAAATGTTCACATATTATGTGACACTCCTTCATGTCAAAAAAGCAAGGGAAATTTGTTTTTCCATGATATCCTTAGCTCCCTAGATTTACATTGGCTGCTGCTCTTTTTCCTTATGTAGTTCACTTTTGTAAATTGGTGGGGTGTAAGCTTCCATTATTTAGCTTCTTTAGCCTTGTAGCTTGAATACAAAAATAAAATAAAACTTAGGACACCAAACATGTCTTGACTGATCAACTGCATTTGGGGAAAAAGTGTATACTGTATAAATACAATTTCTTGCCAAACTATCACTTTAAGAGACAAATGATTCTAAAGCAGCTCACTAAAAACAGATTTGCTTGTTTTACAACGAAAGTGATGGTTAATCACATCATAAGTGGTGGATATATTTGGATATAAGCGTGTAGCACTACACAGAGAGAAACTCTTTACTCCTGCTCTGCTAATCTCTGCAGTCTGAATGGAGAGGAGCCATTCTGCCGGATTTGTCACGAAGGCCACAGTGCCGGGGATCTTTTATCTCCGTGTGAGTGTGCAGGGACGCTGGCCATGGTGCACCGTGTGTGTCTGGAACACTGGCTAACCGCCTCCGGCACCAGCCACTGCGAGCTCTGCCACTTTGAGTTTGCGCTGGAGCGCCTGCCAAAGCCTCTGACTGAGGTAAACACAGCACATCACGCTTTCTCAGGATGGAGGAACAGCTGATTAGGACACCAAGGGCAGCTTGGGATGACCGCAACATCCTAAAATAATTTACCACCTATTTTTATTTTCAGATTTCAATATACACTGAGTTATTAGCTTATTAGCTTCACCAAACTTGATCACTTTATCAGAAAAACCCATGATATAGGTCCACTTTTTAGGTTTACAATTATATATATATATATATATATATATATATATATATATACACACACATAAAGGAAACTGTCATTGGGGTGGTACCTCAGTCAGGGAACATAACTGTAACGTAATCTATTGAAATTATATTTTCTATATGTTGTATTGACTCCACACACCCCGTCTCATCTCCAGGCTTTTTTATGTTATTGTTCTGTTTTAAAACATTAGGTTATGAAAAGGTACAAAATGTACTTTTCACCTGGAAAAACCTATTTAAATTTCACTACTGGACCTTAAAAACACTGTTGTACCTTTGAGGGCACATTTATGTTGTTACAATAACATTTGTACAATAACTTACACAATTTAATGTTTAAAATTTTTTTATTTTTGCTGGTAACTTTACAGGAGAAAGAAAAATTTGTAACTTTCCAGCAAAAAGATTTCATTCATTGATTTCTGTTCAGCATTCTGGACACGTCAACATTTCATAATTATTTACAGCTTCCTAGCAATTTTTTTTAGTTTCTAGCATCACATTAGAATAACTTTATTCATTTATCTGCAGCAAATTAATATTTTCTTATTGCTAACACTGATTCCAAACTTTGGACCAGTGATCCCACCATTTTTTGAACAGTGTTGCACTGAAGTTATGTCCTCATGTCCCGGGTCGACCCACAGGCAGAGTTCACATTGGAGGGTCTGCTGCAGCTCGGCTGCTTTTAACCACTAAAGCCACTTAGCAGGTAATGAGATTAGATGGTGCGCGTATTCCAGCGAGGCCCGGCCAGGGCTCTGCGCTTCCGTGAGGTCTTTTATCTCGCCTGTGTGGACTGGCACACAGTAAGCTGATGATTACAGCCCGTCTGCTGGGGCCCGCAGGACAGAAGAATCAGAAGTCCCTCTTTGTGCTCATGACTGCTGAACAGTGGTCCAAGGACTGCGTCTGAGAACACTTCTGCACATCTGCGGTCAAATATGTTCACCAACAGCTTCTCAATAGCCTTCAAAATCCAATTAACATGGTAGCATAGGTAACAATAAAGGAATAATAAAGAAAATGAGCTACACATGTAGCCTGGTTGCTTCAACAGGAATCATGTTACTTTACCCTTTAATTTCCTCTAAAAAAAACTTGGTGTGATCTTAACTGCTGTAGTGGGATCACACTGCTGTATAGGGGATGCTATCACAGCCCTATCACTGTGTTCAAGCTGAAAGGGCAAGTCTATCTAATTCCCTACATTTCTGCATAAATAAATGGTTAAGATGTAAACAGTCATTCAGAGTGGTTTGGTGTCAAATGCTCCGTTCTAGAGAAACTTACCGAGTCAGAATTGTTCACAGTGGTGGTGACAGGAACCAGACATCCACCTCTCAAAGCTCCCTCACAGAAAGTTATTACATGAAATGGTTATGAATGTCTGATACTTCTGAGAAGGTTTTTGGCTTATATGCATTTTGTAACATCTGTTCATGACAGTGAGGTACATGCAGGGCATAATAAGTCAAGTCAAAGTTTATTTATATAGCGCTTTTTACAACAGGCGTTGTCAGAAAGCAGCTTTACAGAAAAATCCAGGTCTGAACCCCCAGGAGCGTCGCCAATGGCGACAGTGGCAAGAAAAAACTCGCTAAAAGCAGGAGGAAGAAACCTTGAGAGGAACCAACACTCAAAAGGGGAACCTCCTCATTTTGGTCCACACCAGATAGCAAACAGTAACACAAGCAAAATGAACAGAGGATAAGGTTTTAATATTAGTGTAAAATATAAAAATACAGAAGTATATAATAAGAAGGAAACACAAAAGAAAACGTGCACTAGAACACAGAAGCTGGACATCTGATTTGTTTTTTAAGAGGTTTTAAGCACCGACAGTCTAAATTTGTAATTGGGATTACTTGGACTGTGAAAAGCAGAAAACGTTAAACCAACTTCTAAGACTGAACTTTGGAGGTGTGTCTGCAGATTTCTTTGAGAAACTGAAAGTGAGTCTCCTGAAAAGAATGGAAGCTGTAATAAGGGTAAAGAATGACACACTGAACACTCAACTTCTGATTAGATTTACTTGTTGAGGCTTCTGTATATTTTTCTGTTCTGACGTTGAAAAATGAATAAATTGTACTTAATGGCCTTTTTAACTGGAGATCAAATAAATGAAGGGGGTCTCTGACTTTTGCACAGTGCCGTAGGCCAGTTGGGTTAATGCTGTTCTGATCATGTCTGTCTCTGCTGATTTAGTGGCTGGCCGCTCCATCCATGCAGCACCAGAGGCGGACACTGTGCGGGGATGCGATCTGCTTCCTATTCATAACTCCACTGGCCAGTCTGTCCGGCTGGCTGTGCGTGCAGGGGGCCATGGACCTCTACTACAGCAATGGCATGGAGGCGTTCGGACTCATAGTGCTCACACTGGCCCTCTTCACCATCTACTTCTTCTGGACTGTTGTGAGTCCCTTTTGATTAAAAACAGGGCTTGGAGGAGCTGATTGCTGCATGTATCTTTGAGTGTGTGGTTCTTTCTAATCAGCACTACTCATGTTTTCCATATTTCACCATGTTTTTATACCATGTAGATTAGGGGTGGGAATCTCTAGGCACCTCGCGATTCGATCCGATTACGATTCAGAGGGCTGCAATGCGATTATAAAACGATTATCGATGCATCTTTTTTTTCTATACATGATTTCTATTTTCTTACTGTGTGAGGACTCGGTAGTTTTAAAACAAAGTATTTGTAATGATCCATAATGAATTTACTTCCAATATCTTTTATTAATAAAACAAATGGAAGTGATGTTGCAAGTGAGCTAGAAGGCTCTCATTCACTGCTCTTGGTGGAGACGCTGCTGCCACTCATCTGTGATAAAATGCGCCGTTACGGTGAAATAAGATCCAGTGGTGATGGATGACCACGCAGCACATTATATATTCTTTAGGGATTTCCTAACTTCGGTTTTTGGTCTCGTTATAGAGGGGGGGAGCGCCAAAGACTGCAGGTCACGTAGCAACGAGGTTTCGCCGGGCGAGTAGCGAACGACAAAGGAAAAGAGAAAGACAGACGAACATTTGGAGATGAATGGACTTATTCGCATTTATAAGCAGCGCAGTTGGTTTCCTGGTACGTCAAATCTGCAACGAGAGACTGTCAAACACTAAAAAGTTGAGAAGATGAAGTCGCTTCTCTTTCTAATTTTCCCTGTACCACCTTAAATGGTGCCGCTTTTACATTCGGCGCCTCAGTCAGAATTTAAGGTGGAACGGGAAAGTTCAGCAAGAAGCTGGCGAGTAAGAAGCGACTTTAGCCTCGTAAAACAGCAGAACGCTGAGAGACATTTTACAAGAAACTATTCAACTTTTGAGGAAAAGTTTTCTGGCGGAGTTGGAAGAAAAGCAGCTGTAGCTAAAGCTTAAAGTAGAGAGAGCAGAGCAAGTCTGCGTTTTCGTTTATATTTTTTAGCCTAAACTAGGACATTATCACATACTGGACATTAAATGTTGCGGCTCCCAAGGTGGTTTGATTTTTGTTGAAAGGACAAAATGGCTCTTCTTAACATTTGTGTTGTGACTCCTGACCTAACCTGGCTTTAATGCAGAGGGAGTCGGTCGGATTTCTCGCTCATTCAGTAGTAGCAGTAGTTTTTGTTATGTGCCGCCACAGACTGTCCGGGCACTTACCCACTTCCAGGTTCCGCCTTTTGCGTTCCGTCAACATTACGTTATAAATTAAATATTCAGAAAATCGATTTTTGACATTTATGAATCGATTCAGAATCGTCCACGTCTGCATCGCGATGCATCTAAGAATCGATTTTTTCCCGCACCCCTAATGTCGATCATCAATTTGCCTTCAAACTGTTTATGCACATTGGCCTAATGTCCTTCCAACATGTTAACAGTCTGGAAGTTCAGGAATTTTATAATATTAATCCACAAGTATTTTACACTCCCCCATTGTAAGTCATCTCAGGGCATTCCATTCCATTAAAGGGGAATTCCACCGCTTTTTCAAAACGTATGTATATTTAAATCGCTCACACGTAAACTAAGCCATTCAGAGCGGTTTGGTGTGAAATGGTTCAGATTTCTTTACAGTGGTGGTAATAGGTACCAGGGGTCACCATAACTACAACACTAATACAGCCATTTTGTTTACTAAAACAAAACTATCATAAAATATCGTAAAACGTCTCAGACATCAGACAGTGTATTCACAACAGTTCATGTAGTAACTTTCTGTGAGGGAGCTTTTAGAGGTGGACGTCTGGTTCCTATCACCACCACTGTGAATAAATCTGACTTGGTGAGTTTCTCTAGAACGGAGCATTTGACACCAAACCACTCTGAATGACTGTTTACATCTTAACCATTTGATCATTTCATTAGGCTGGAATTGTGAAAAATTGGTGGAATTCCCCTTTTAGACTGAAATTTATATTATATATATAAATAAATAATGTATGTGTGTGTGTGACTGAATAAATGACGGCTGTCCTGTATACTGCCTCATTCAAAAAGCAGTGCGGGCTGTAACACTCCTTATGACCTCAGTGTGAGTGGGCGGGGCTAAACTGCTGTAGGCCGAATAGATGAATATATCTAAATGTTTGATTCACCATCACAGGTGTCCCTGCGTTACCATGTCCACCTGTTCAGGACCTGGAGTGAGACCAACCCCAGAGTGAGGCTGCAGATTCCCCCACCTAAACAGACCCCCCAGTGCCAACAAAACCCAGCACTGCACTTTCTGTGCAAGGACAAAGGCAAGGAGACGGTAGTGTAGCTAGAGTGGATGGATGCCTGCCAAGACACAGACTGCATAATATGGACAAAACACTAACACTGAGTCTATATTGCTACATACTGCAATTGCGATTATGCCTTGCAGTATTTTAAAAACATCAGTGAAACAGCAACGTCATGGCTGAAACTGAAAAGCAAAATTCTTTTGTTGGTTTACCCAAATATCTTGACATAGACAACCACACAAACTCATCTTGAAACACTAAATCGTGCAGCCTTAAAGGACACAACTGGATACAAGGAACCTGCAACACATCCTGTTCTGGAGTTCTACAATAAACCAGAATAAAAACGGGATATACGTTAAGGAGTATGTTAACAGACAACTGGAGCACTGTAACACTAAGCAGATGGAGGATGGCTCGTGTTGCATGGAGAATATTATTGTGTATGAACACTGAATCTTACTATTTCTATGACTGTACTGAAACTGTATTATTTATACCTGTTTTTAAATCGACTGAGTTCAGAAATACTTGGAAAAAAAATGGCTGCAGATAATCAGCACCCAAACAAACACCCACTTTTTACCCACTGTAATCTTTATTGAATTTATATATAGATATAAAAAAGTATATACATTTGGTGAAACAAATGCAATAAATAGGCTTTGACATTCAGGATCTATTTTGAGGTCACTAGAAGGCTAGATAATCAGATAAATGGTCATGTTCTGCTATGAAGGTTTACAAGGGAATATGTTCAACCAAAAAAAAGGAAAAACCAAAGTAAGCTTATGACAGTGTTTATAGGTGTTTGTCACTGCACTGATTAAATTAAAAGAACATATAAAATGTAACCTTGTGAACACTGACCGTTCATAATGGATCCTACCGAGAGTGCGGCCAAAATGGACAAACCTTCTAAATGGTTTAATGACCTGTAGTGCTACATTTTGAACAATTCTTCCTACAAAAGGCACAGTTAGAGTCTGGGAATGAAGTACAACCATTCTTTCTCTACCTCACTAGTCATCAGCAGCATATCACCACCACATCTGGGCTACTCCTATAAATATAACCTTCCCATGTTTACACACAGGTAACGCTTTAGCAATTATGAGTGCAAATCTAGGAATATTCAGGCAAGTCGGGTACAATAAAGTCCAGAGATGAGTCATATTTCAGATCATATCTGTCAGAATTTACAGACAAATACTGCACGTTGCTGAAGGACCTTTGCAAATAACTTATATGAACAAGTTTTAAGGCACCAGAAACCTTCCAAACAAGCAACTTTCACACATTCTGCAGAAAGTTTGATTTTTCTGATGCAGGAAAATATGTCAAGTTATCTTTAGGGTCTCAGTGGCTATTCTATGCAGTGTTGCCCATTATATCTCAATGAATGTGATTAAATGGACATAAGTACAGCCCAGGAGTAAGAAATTAGTTATTTTAAGAACTAACCGTTCTAGGGCCGTTAGGTTATGTCTCTGTAAAAAAAAATATCAATGGAGTGATAATTCCACACCATAGTCCATGGACTTAGATGGACGGATGCTACATGACTGCACAGCTGGCCTCCTGATTCCCCACCTGGCTCTGTAAAAACATGACAAATGTTTATTTGTACATACATACATACAGTAACAGTCTTTTTAAAAAAACTCCATTGTTTAATGCATTGTTTAAACATTTCATAATGAATGGACCAACAATTAAAATTACTTGGAATAAAAAAAAAGTATATCCTAAAAAAAAAGCTAATCAGACACTGACAATATGCTCTCTCTTTCCATTATAATTTCTAAATTATAGAAGAAAAAAAACAAAACAAAAAAACAACAAACAAACAAACAGTTCATGCAGGTCATTCCTGTTGGTCCATTCTTTATGTAATATTCACATAATGTAGCCGGAGTCGTCAAATGTGGACAAAAGAGTTGTGAGGGCATGACCATATTAAAGCACTTAAAGTTTTCTGCACTGTAAGTTGGCAAGCGGAAAATGCAGAGCAGCTAGAAAAGCAATTAGCAAAGCAGTCAAAATCATAGTCAAAAGGTGCGTGAGATATTAGCCAGCAATACTGAAGAAAAAGTGTAGGGAAACGTGATTAGTATTAGAAATAATACAATAACACTTTCTTTTCCAATACTGATAATGAAACCTTGGCAGATACGGATCCGACAGTCATGCTTAACGCTGCACAGCGAAAAGATCACTAATCCTGTTTATTCATTCATTCACTCATCCTCTATGCCGCTTATCCTCTTGGGTCGCAGGGGGTGGTGGAGCCTATCTCAGCAGTCACTGGGCAGAAACACACTGGACAGGCCACCAGTCCACCGCAGGGAAGACACAAAAAGACATTCACACACATAGGGCCAATTTAGTGTCTCCAATTTGCCTGACTGCATGTCTTTGGACTGTGGGAGGAAACCCACGCAGATGCAGGGAGAACATACAAACTCCACAAAGAAAGGACCCTGGTCACCCCGGGGCAGCAGAGCTACCCACTGTGGCAGCCCATAGTCCGGGGTCGGCAACGTGCGGCTCTTTTACTGCCCTGTTATGGCTCCACAGCGGAAATAGATTTGTAGGTAAAAATAAAAATAATCCTCCTTTGCAGTGAAATAAAGCTCTGCTGATCATTCTAACAGTTTTAACAAACACTGGAGTTAATGTATAACTGCTTATTCACAAACCTTTGCCCCTGAAGGTTTGCGCGCAGACTGCTGGTCACCACAGTAAAGCAGCTAAGAATCTTGTCTTGCTAGTAGCTAACAAAACAACTTTAAACTATTAAAGACAAACAGACCTATTTACATTTATAATCACTCCAGCTGGTTTCCTGATACGTTTAATCTGCAACGAGAAACTGAAACACTAAAAAGTCACAAAGCTGAAGTCGGCTTCTCGTTCACCAGCTTCTTGTTTGAATTCTCCCATTCTACCTTAAAAGGTGCAGCAGTTACATTCAGGCACCATTTAAGGTGGAACAAGAAGCTGGCGAATGAGAAGCTGACTTCAGCCTCACAAGAAACTGTTCTACCTTTCAGGAAAAGTTTCCTGCTGGAGATGCGAGAAAAGCAGCTATAGCTGAACTAAAGCTTAAAGCAAAGCACTAGAACATTAGCATATACTGAGACATATTTACAGCCAAGACTGTAAAATGGACATAAAATGTTGTAGCTCTCAAGGTGGTTTCAGTTTTGTTGAATGGACAAAATCACTCTTCTTTACATTTGGGTTGTGACCCCTGCCATAGTCTAATCAGCCATTTGAAAATCATTCCAGTTATCTATAATGTACAGCCTGAAGAATGAGGTAGCTAGCAACAGCAGCTGTTTTATGCTCACCCCACACACATAACCCTTATGTTTTATACATCTGGGTTTCAGTGCTGAGGGGCTGCAGCAGAATATAAAAGGTGCAAAGTGAAGCGTCCATGCAGAGCACTAATGCAGGCAGCATCTAAAGCTACAGCCGTGACAATCTTCTCACCTACTGCTCCTGCTATGCAGCGACAGGTCAGGATAGAGAGCAACATTTCTTTTTCCTTCGTTTGGGCTTTTCATAACAAAAGAAATGAAGAAATTAGCTGCATCTTGCTAATAAGGATAATTCTTAGTGAAGAAAATCTGCATTACAAAAGCCTCTCACTGAAGTGCACTGCAGTTGTCAGTTCTGATAACATATATGATAAACACACAAACACACAAGCTCAGTGACTTAACATGGAACTGTTACAGGATGCCATCTTTGCCACAAGTCACTTTGTGACATTCGTCCCCTGCTAGATCTGCCCCAGTCAACTGTAGGTGATATTATTGTGAAAGTGAAGCATCTATTTATATCAGGGGGGGCTTTTTTTTCCAAAAAGGGCCAGATTACACCATGTCAAAATACCTGAGAGCTGAACTACTATTCACAAATGATTAAAAATAGTATGTTTTCAAAATATTAGCGCATAGAATAAGAGCTTTCTGTGAGCCACTGTGTTTCCTATCACTGTATAAAAGATGCACAAGGCTTCTTTATTCTTGCTCAGAGCAATTTGGAAAGGTAGGCACTTGAAACAAATAAGTTGTTTAAGGGAAACAATAAAACACATCTAATGTATTAATTAAATTGCTATTTAACTGTTCGAAAATATAATGTCCATGCTTTGTGTTATGTCTATGATACTGAATTCATTAGTCTTTTTATATATGAGGCACATGCATTTGCTGTGGCTCTCGATGGAAAAAGTACTCAAATTTCCAACTCGCCAAAATCGCGGGTTCTCTGTGTTGAGTTTGAGCTTTATGGCTGCAGTCTGGACTAAATGCAGGTCAGTATATGAAGATGCAGGTCTAGTCAGAGAAGAAAGGCTCTTAAACTTTAGCTAACTTCATTACCGCAGGGCGATGCACTGCACTGTAATTCTACAGCACTGCTGCCACCATCAGGTGAAATGAAGAACTGCAGCATACTGGCTGGTGGGCCACTTATCACACAATCTTAAACAGAAGGCATGGGCCAATTAAAATCTGTCGGACTTTGGACACCCCCGATTTATATAGTTCAAAATTATCTCTCTGAAATACATATGAGTCCTTATTTTATTGTTCAAAACTGGTGTAATGTTCCTCTTATTTTATTTTATAACAGTTTTATACTCAAAATGAACTATAATGTGTTAATGTGTATAAAGTGTGTGTGTGTGTGCGCACGCACGTTACCTGTCGGCGAGGGTGAATCTCTGAGCCCACGCCGCTCTCTTCATCAAATTCCACATCCGAGTCTCCCTCAGCTCGGCCCTGAACACACACCACACACCGCTCGGCCGTCTCCTGAAGCCACAAACAAATCATTTATAGTACAGTTAGAAATCAAACCTCTGGCTTTCAGTGCTAACAGTACTGCTTAAGTGCATTCTTTAACACATATATAAACAAATATACCACAGAATGTTTTTTTTGCCTGATTTCAACCCCAATTTGCCCCTTGCGACAAATTTTCACAATCTGAAGCGATTTTCCAGGACGGAAGCTTGATCGGAAGAGACTGATGGCGCGGATGATCTGGTAGTGTGAGAGGAGCAATGAGCAAATCTTCAGCCATATGATCAAACTGCCCTTCGATATCATCAAACATGTTTGATATTTTTACGACTGATATTCACGAGTCCTATAGTGTGAGAAGGTCAGAGATTTACTGAACGAATGATTCAAACAACAGCCAATCAGAGAGCTAGAAGAGCGGAGATACAGCCGAAGAGACGAGCATGAACAGTAGAGCGGAGACAGAAGAGCTGTGTGTAAAACACAGGCAGATAAGAGCTGATATTGTTTATGTGTGGATCCAGAGGTCAAGTCACTCTCTTTACAATTTCAGCTCAGCTGGCAGTTTATAGTGAAACATTTCTCCAGCTCTCACTGTAATATCAGCATTTCTCAACCCCATATTAATTCCCAGTTTACACTTTCGCTACACATAAAAGCACAAACAGGTCCAGCAAGTTCAGCTTTGTTCGTGTTGTGTGATCTGAGGAAATCTGGGAGTTTGAGTTCTTATTCGTAGTTGAAACTCCTTATGTTTGTTAAACTCTCTCTTTGCCTTGTCCTCTAGTGTGAGAGCCCACATGACAAAAAAAAAAAGAAAAAAAAAATTGTGACTAACTGATGATGGGTTTTGACGCTCTCAGTTTCAGAAATCTGTTAAGATTTTAAAAGTCGTGTAGGGTACGCCTGGCCTTAGAAGTTTCCTCTAAGAACAAAGACTTTTGCCTCTTGGTTAAAGGGTAATTTCACAATTTTTTCAAAGTTGGTGGATTGATTAAATGTTTATAAATTCCTCTTTAATATACAGTGTTTCCCTATTGTGGTCCTGGTTGTATCAAGGTGGTTAGAGCAGGAAAACTCAAACATGCAGGGCAGGGGTACTCTACACTCAAAAATGATGGTTTTAAAAAAAAGAAGATTCTACATAGAACAATGAACACTCACAGAACCATTTGCATGAATAAAGGGTTCTTTGCATTGTTAAATGGTTCTTCAGATTGATGGAAAATGTGCTGTAGAAAAAAAAAAAAGTTTCCTCCATTCTGACAGGCTTGACATCATAACAACAGAAGAACCCTTTTTGGTGCTATGTAGAACCCTTTTCAAAAAGGTTCTATATGAAAGCATATAAAACACATTCTCCATCTAACACTTTCATGATGCAAAGAACCCTTTACTCATGCAAATGGTTTTTTTGAGTGTTTATGGTTCTAAATGGAACCATTTTCTTTAAAAAAAATGTTCAAGGATTATTTAGTAAAGTGTGTAAGGCCAGAGCTGGGAATACCTGTGTTAAGTGCATATATTTAGATGGACTTTTGTTATCTGTCACAATGATTCTCTCTTACCTCATTGTGTGTGTTAAGCAGAGAAACTGTGACATCGCTGACCGCTCCCCATGTCTTTGGATCACTTAGAACCAGGTCAGTAGGAGGATTCGGTTCCACTCCAGCTCCTGCAGACCAAATCTGAGCAGACACATTACCGATAACAGAGCACCAGATATGCATTTGTCATATTCAACTGCGAGTTGTCTGAAATGTTTGAAACCTCAGTAATAAAGTGCTGTTTAAAAGCACTCATATCCTGCATTTATCCAAGACTGAGCTCTGTCCTGACAGGCCACTCTGTTGTGCCTTGTTCAAAAAGCAGTTCAGGTGGTAACGCGCCTTAAAACTTCAGTGTGAATGGGCAGAGCTAAATGCTGTAGGCTGAATAGGCATATATATGTAAATGGATGCACTGTATAGGAATCAGCGGTCAGTGTCTACAAAGCAAATACAGACATTTTATTTACTATTCAGTACAATCAGTAAACCTACATATGGCTGAGTCTTAATATGTAATGTCGATAAGCAATAACAACATTTATATGTAATATTTTTAACAAAGGTTAAAAAAATAAACGGTGAACTAGTGCACCAAATGTGTGCAGGTCTGTATATGTCAAAGTGTGTGTATACATCAAGTATATTTTTACCGTCACTGTTTGTCCAGCACCCAGAATGCAGGATGTGGGGATCTGGTAGATGATGTCCGGAACTCCTTGCTGCCTCCTCCTCACTGCCCAGCCACCTAGTGGCTGATCCTGAAACAGCAGTCATTAAAACACCCTTTCACACAATACCCAGTAACCAAATTACCACACCTAACAACCTCTGATGAACCTGACAATCATGGTGACAGTTAAGTGCTATTCAGATGGGATTCATTTTAGATGGGTGGTGGGGTAATGTCAGTTTAACATGGGACATCTGTAATGTTTAAGAACTACTTGCACACGATAAGAAATATCTCGTTATAAATTTTATGCACTGCATTTACTCCAGAAAAAAGTAAAATGTATCAAAGAATAATAGCTAAATTAAATGTTATGTACCCTAAACATCTGTCTTGCGGCCTTCAATAAATGCACAGTAATTAACATTGCCTGTGCCACAATGAGTGTGACTACTGTGCATCTCTAACCAAAATCTTCCAAAATAAGAACCCCTCCCACATTCTTGTACATTATATATCCACTACTTACATTATGTACATGTACTTTCTAACGGTATACAACTTAAATAATTAAAATGTAACTAAAAAGATGTTATTGTATTTTATTAAAAATTATAATTTTACACACACACACACACACACACACACACACACACACACACACACACACACACACACACACACAGTAGGATTTGTTTAAACTTGGAAATAACCAAGTTTAGAAAGTTGGAAAAAAAAAAGTTACGTCAAAACGAAGAGTTCAGATTTTTACATTTAAGCACATTTTTGGCCATGTTAAGGGCAGATTTGTTTTTGAATCTTATTCTTTCCATTGAGGCTTGTGTTCAGACAACTCTAGAATAGATCTGATCTGCTCATCAGAGTTCAGCTCGAGTGTACTGTTGTTAAAGCAAAACAGAGATATATACCAAATATTAAAATTCCAAAATTTGTGATAAAATTTGAAAAGATTCTTCTTTTCACTCAAGTTGTTGTGCTGATGTTATTTGAAAGGAATGAAAAATAGAGGCACTTTCACTAGTGGTCTCAGACTTTCAGAACCCCTCACCTGCACCAAGAGTTAGTAAAATATTCTGACCAGCCACTGTGGGAAAGTCATACCATGTCAGAGTTGTTCTTGAGCTTTATGAAGTTTCCATGCAGGTCAATCTCGCCAACGGACACGCAGCCGCGGGTGGACGAGTGCTGGGACACTTTATAACTGGGAGAGAGGCCTGAGCCGCCCTCGTGCTTTCGTTTCTTGGCCCAGGCTTTACGTGTAGTCTGCTTGTGTGTGCGGGAGATGGAAGCGTGCTGGGACGGACTCGGAGAGAGGTTCAGTCTGAGGAAAAAACAACCAACCAATAAACAAGCCAGTGCATTTACAAATATGGAAGCCAATGCTTTGAGTATATTTATTTTCAACAATCAAGCCTCATGTTCAAAGTATCTACCTTCGAATGAAAAGCTGGTTTGGTCTAAACAATGATTTGAGAGTTTTCTTTTTCAAATCAATGTTAAAAGCAAATATTTAAACCAAAGGTGGAGAAGAGAAATTAAGAGGTTAAGAAGCTAAATATAATGCAGCGCTTCTACTCATTTTAAACTGTCATAATATACTTACTTATATACTTAATATGATATAATTATTCACAAATGATTCAAAATATGGAAAATAACAGTGTAGAGCAATCAACTGAACTGAGAGTCTTGCTGGTGATCCGCTCTGAGAATTCAGTGATTGCTTAAGCGTGTATAAATCTGATGACAGTTCAGTTACAGCTCGTACATGTTCCAGTGGTCAGAATCGCAGTGTATCAGCACGCAGAACCTGAGCTTTCAGCGAGCTAAGGTGTTTTCCATCAATATCACTTGTATCGCTTGCAGCTGCTGTAGTTTCTCTGCCCTTTTTGAAATGTTTATAGTAAGGTCCATGCTTTGTTTCATGTCTATCGGTATTAAAATTCATTGTCTTCTGAAATGAGCTGCATTTGCTGTGGCTCTCGATAGAAACGTATTCAAATGTCTATCTTGTCAAAATTGCTTTTTTTAGCGTTTGGTTTGTGGTTTATGGCTGTAGTCACAGAAGAAAGGCTCATAAACTTAAGCCAACTTTGTTACCACAGTGCGGCGCATTACACTAATTTTATGCTGCAGCTGCGACCTTCAGGTGAAAGGAAGAACTACAGCGCACTGGCTGGCGGACCACTTAACACATTCTAAAACAGCACACAGGCCAATTAAAATCTGCCAGTGGGCCATAGTTGGCTCTGGGGCCAGACATTGAACACCCCTGTACTAAGGCAACAATTTATGTTCTGTTCTCTTACCTTCGCTCTTCTCCCTCCAGCATCTTGCGATAGGCATTGATCTCCATGTCCAACATCAGTTTGACATCCAGCAGGCTCTGGTACTCCTCCAGCTGTGCCTGCATCTGCTGCCTCATGTCGGCCATCTCCTGCTCCTTCTGCGTGAGCCGCTGGTGGCTGAGCTGCCGTTCACGGTCCAGCAAATGCTCCAGCTCCTGCACACGCGCCTCCAACGCCGAGTTCTGACACGGAGAGAAAGAACACTGCCCTGCACCACTCGCTTTGATGATACATTTAGTATGACGATACAAAAAGTAAGAACGGTGAAAATTATGTGCTGTTACACTACTGTATTACATTTTCAAGTGAAGCTGTAGAAGCTTGAACTCAAATGCTTTGTTTCTATTACAGCCCAATCCCATCTACCCCTACCCCTTGTTTTCAAGGGTCACCTTGCCCCTTGGAACTGAGTTACAAACGGTAGGGGTTGAAATCTTCCCTACAAAATGGGACCCTCAAATAAAACAGATCATTACTTCATTAACAGCTACTAGCGGTGCTCTGTAGGCGACCCTGCCAGTCTGCAGTGATAGCAGAGGAGGATAAAGTTCAGCAACCTCACTGCTGGGATTTAATTACATTTAGGACATCATATGCTTTTAAAAGGGGGGGTGGGGTGCAGTATTTATTGTTGCCCACCGCCAATTCTTTGGTGATATGAAGCTTCTTGTTCGAATTTTCCTGTTCCACCTTAAATGGTGCAGCAGTTACATTCTGGTGCTTCAGACATCGGTACTGCTGGACTATTTAAGGTGGAACGGGAAGTTTAGCTAGCTAGCTACTGAGATATTAGCATATTATTAGTGATTTTTTATGCTTGTAATTTAGAAAAGGACCATAATACACCCATAAAACGACATTAAACTAAGATAATATAATGAGGACCATGTAGCCCCAACACTCTGTCCTACCCCTCTATCTCAACAAGGATCGGGACGCCCTACCCCTAGGCATGAACGCGCAAAATGGAGTGCTAAGGGCTAAGTGGTAGGGGTGAGAGGTGAAATGGGATTGGGCCTACATGTTCTAAAATGCCTGGGATAAATTGGAAATGTATGATGTATTCAAAATGTATATTTTAAAAGGTAAAAATGTATTTACATACACCGCATACATAATGACTTTGCTGACTGTACACTGTAAAATACAAATCAATACTTTATAAGTATTGTGTTGTTTATTCTAGTATGTTTTTTGCTACAAAGTTTGACCATTTCTGTTTTAACAAATGCAACTTAACACATGACCACTACAGCTTTCTGTAACCCACTGTACCTGTTTCTGCAGGTTGCTGATCTGCATGGACTGCGACTCAACTCTGAGTTTGGTTCCTGCCAGCTCCTCTCTTGTTGATGTGGCAAAGTCACTGTTCTTGGCCGCAACTTGCTTCGCGTTCTCCAACTGCAACAAGCAAATGATCTGAGTTACTGGACTGGATAAATGACGTGCATTAATGGATTAGATAAATTATGTGGACTACTGGTATTACAGTAGAAACATCAGATACACTGAATAAATAAAAGTGGACTATAGACCGGAAAAATGATAAATTTGTCTTCTCCAGATACAAGGAAAAAAATAATGTGTATTAGATACAGTGTGAAATATGGGCTTGCACAAATACAATGCATAAATCACAAGAGATTACTGAACAGTGGCCCATTTTGACCAAAAAAGATTTGACCGCCTTTAATGAATACATGCATACAAAACTGCATCTGATTCATAAAACTTTTGCACAACATGGAAATGAGCGCTGATTTAAGTGCAAATTAATCAGTTTTAGTGCGTAAAATCAAGTGCCGGCCTACCTATCTATTTTGTGGGTGGAGTCAGTAGTGTAAAACAAAAGCACAGAGTAGTATGTATTTAAATAAAACATGAAATTGTTACAGCATTTGTTTACACCAGTGTGCATGTAATATAAGTACATCCACTTTTTCACTCGATTACCATGTGCACAAATTTAGTACTATTGTCATTTTCTTTTTTATATGGTATTATAATGGATACTGGTGATAGTTTTGGCATTAACTTGACTTGGCCAGACTCTATGCAACAACAGAAACTCGTGTGCAACCAAAACCGTTCCATGAGCATCAGTAGTGTATGTTTATACCTTCGCACTGAAGGTCCGTCCCAGTTCCTCCTTGTACTGCTGGATTTGGGTTTCGTGTTCTTGCCGGAGCTGCTGCATGGCTTCCGCTAGTTTACTCTCAAACTCCCTCTGCCTGCCCGAGTCCACCTCCATCAGACGACTCTCATGCCGGCTCCGCATCTCCCGCACTTCCTACACAGAAACTCTGATCAGGACCATAGCAGTAGTACAGCAAACACAGAGTATAACTGGAATGGCAACAGCATCAGCAAATCACTTCTTAAAAAACATGCTAATGTAGTTGTTATAACTGAAATTCTTCAGGCTAGCACTAATATGTTTATGATTTCAGAGTGACTTTATATTGCATGTTTAGCAACAGTCAGATTGTGAATCTTTTCAGAGAAGAAATTGTAAAGAAACAAATGACCAGTTCTTTAAAGATCAAGATGCACACTTTCTCACCTGTTCAGAGATGTGCTTTTGAAAGTCCATCTGCTCCTGCAGCGTCTGAATCTGGTTCTCTGCGTCCACTCGCCGCAGCATCTCTGAATTAATCTGAGCTTTAGCATTTTGCAAGGATGACTCCAGCTACAGAACAGGGAGGCAAGGGCATGACAGGCCTTTCAATACAGCAACTCTGAGGAATGAATTTCAATCACACTTATTCAATTTTCACAATTTCTGAGATTACAGTGAGGAAATTTGAAATATTTATGACTATCATTAGCAGATTTAGCCTTGAGGACAAAGTGCAAACAATATAGCTTTCATTGCAGACAACATTTTTAAATCACTGTTATTATTCAATAGAGAACTCTGCAAAGAAACAGCTGTATGTTGTAACTGCTGTAACAAAACCTCTATCGTAACTGCATAGGAGGAATAAACATTCTTAACTTGTACTATGTACATTAAAGGCACGTCATTTTTTTCTTGCATTTTATTTTTGTGCTTGAGATTCACTTATAAAAGGTTGTGTGCCTTTATGTACCAAAATGATCATAGCTTTCCAATCTTTCTTTATCCCTTAGAATTAAACAGTTTTTGTTACTGTACCTTTAAGACTGAAATGTGAGTAAAAGAGCTCTGTGCTGATTGGCTGCACCTCACTCAAAAAGGACTCCGAGCTGAAACACTATAACTTTAGTGTGAATGGGTGGGGCTAAACTACTGTAAACTGAAAAGGTGTGCATGTTAATAAGCTGGCTGTTGTGACATCACAAAAACATTTATTTCGAAATGGGCTTAGTTTTCATATGGACTAGGTAGGGAATGTTTTGAAACTTTAACAATGTTTGCATATTACTGTTGAAAAGCAAGGGAAACTTGGTTTTCCATAAAATGGGCCCCTAATGTACATAGATTATACTGCAGTTAATTTTGGACAAAGTAAAGAGCTGCTGGTCTTTTCAAGTAGTGCAAAAAAATAAATAAAATACAATAAATAGCTGAAATTCTGAACATTTTTATATAGCAGTGGGGGAAACGTGAGACTCACATTATCCACTTGTGCCTTGAGATCCGCCAAATCATTTTCCAGCCTGCGGTTGGCTGCCAGTAAATTAGCATAGTCTGCCTCTTTGGAGTTCAGAGCAGCTTCGAGATTTCTCCAGCGCTCGACAGCATTGCTCAGCTCGGCCTCTTTCTTGTTGTTCCTGCAAGATGAGAAAGATTGAGCTTGTTTGTGAGGCTACGCCAACACTTTACCCATTATTTAACTAGGATTTTAAAACAATCTCTAAAAGAATTTGGAGGCTCCAGAGTAATAATTCAGCTGACAACAGTACACCTGGGGCTGAATGATTTGGAGAAAACATCTAAATGCAATTTTTTGAGCCAATATTGTGACTGCGATTTAAAGTTTCTATAAATTAACGTTCAGTCATAAGTACATCATTTCAGATTTTTCCCGGCTTAAAGCTTGAACGCTGAATGCAGTGTGCCAGACAGTCAGTTAGATGTGGTTGTGTTGTCATGTGTGTATCATGCAGGTGTTTGGTTGCTTCAGAATGGTCACAAGTGCCATGTTAAATGTTCCCCACTTAAAGAGCCCATATCCTGCAATATTCTTGTATTTTATTTTTTTTCTACCCACTTATAACATGTGTGTGGTTTTATGCATCAAAAGTGATTGTAATTCATTTTGACATAACCACATTCCAAACCTCCATTTATCCCTTAGAATTAAACAGGATGTTTTAGTTACTATGCCTGTGAGAGTTATATATGTAAATGAGCCCTCTTCTGAATAGCTGTGGCTCACTCAAAAAGCACTGAGAGCCGAAACACTACTTATAACTTCAGACTGGGTGGGGCTAAACTGCTGTAGGCTGAATATGTATAGTAATTAGGAATAGAATAGAATAAATAAATAAATAAAATGGTCCTTGCGACATCACAAACAATGAATTCAAGATGGGCTGCTTTCATACCTTAGTTTACATAAATTAATTGTACGGACTGAGGGCCCTTTAAAATTTTTAGGCTAGAATTAAAATGGCAGGTTTTGCAATTTTAAAATGTGTGCAAATTGCAATTTTCATATAAAATGATGAATCTTTCAGCCCTAAATAGGCCTAATGCAGATGTTTTCAATACAACAAACCAGAGCCAGGTTACAAGCTGTGCACTACCTTAGGACAAAAGATTATCTTTACCTGACAGGATTGGATTAAAACAGGACTAAAATTTTTAGGCTATAATTAAAATTGCAGCTGAAATTGCAATTTTTAATATAAAAATGATTAATCTTTCACAGGACTAGTACCATCATAAAGGAGAATTCCACAGTTTTTTTTTAATATTTCTCCAGAATTAATTTGTTAGGATGTAAAGAATTACATTTTTTAAATTACATTCATAGCCGAGTGGTACATGCTGGGCATAAGGCAAAATAAAACCAAACACCTGCTGCTAAAAGGTTCCTCACATACAATTATAAGAAATGGTTATCAATACACTGCCTGATGTTTGACACATGGTTTTATGATAGTTTTTAGAAGATTTTGGCCTAAAGCAATTTTTTTTTAAATACATACATGGAGGAGAGACATTCTAAGACAAAAATAGTATAATTTTTCAGATCTTCCACTATGTTGCCATCATCAACGTTCCATATAAAACTCAGAAGACTCATGTAGGTCCACCGGTGGTTTTGGATAGTAAATAAAATGTCTGTAACTGTGTTGTAGTAATGGCGACCCCTGGTTCCTATCACCACCACTGTGAAGAAATCTGAACCACTGCACACCAAACCACTCTAAATGACTTTTTACATCTCAAACACAATTATACAGAAATTTTAGAGGATTCAGGGAAATACATCATTTAATGCAATTGACAGTTTGCAAAATCCTGACATAGACTCGCCTCCTTTAGTTATTGTCGCTACGCGAGTCAAACTTTCAGTTCAGGCTAGCTGGTGGCATACTTAGCATTTGTGCTAACAGACTAAATACTTCAGCAGCGCTGAAGAACGCCTGAAATGTTTTTTTTTTTAAACTTTACCATTAACTATATATAAAAATATAAGTAGCCTGTATTTTATCTGCTATGATAATGCTAACTGCTGTTATGTTAGTGACAAGCTAACAATATATTCACTTCCAGTCACTGAGTTTCATATTACTTTTAGCAGTTCTTTTGAAAGCTGGAAAGCAGGAAAATCTTAAACCTAAACCAGTAAGTTGTTTGGTCTACACATTAGCTCGTTCTCTGATCCTGTTTCCTGGCTGTTGACGGGGATGAAGGGAACTTAATTACTCTAAAACTTTCAGGGCTAGCTACCCAGCCACTTTAGCTTTTTCACTGCATCAAAATCATATTGAAGCAAGATGGAGCTCCAAAACAAATCATTTAGCTACTCAATGTTAAACGGTTTCGTGTCTAACAAGGAGGAGTTTTCAGCAACAGAAGCTGCCTCTTCAGATGAGCTAATACTAAAGCTAACACGGAGGCCAGTCAGAGGAACGTTAGCTAGATGCTGAGGAGCTAGCCGAAGCTGAGTACTCATCTTTTAGCAAATTTTAAATGAATCAACAGGAACAACGATGTGTACTAGTGCATTAATATTTATCCTGACACAAAATATTTAAATCAGGAATGTGAGCATTGTACAGACCTGTTTAATCTGACTGATTCATCAACATAACTGTCAGTAGTTAACTTAAGCTAAGAAAGCTAACTAGTTAACCTAGGTTAGCTAACTGAGCTCTATAACCATTAAAATGACTTTTAGCAAGTACAGTAACCCAGATAATGTTTGCCTTGCCTTAGAGTCAGTATAAGTCTGTCCGTTATTAGTTTTGCCATTACATTTCGAGTTTGGTCTTCCACACAGATTTTACCGCAGGTCTATTATAAGTTATTCCTTCTCCTGACGGAGGATGTTTAGATCGTGATTGGCTGAAAGGCACGTCAATCAAAAAAGCGCCTTCACAAAGTTATTAAACAAAATTATTATGAATACGCTGCCCGATGTCTGACACATTGTTTTGTGATAAATTTCAAATTTCCACCATTTTATCATAATAAATCATTACATATAAAACTCAGAAGACGCGTGTAGGTTTACTGGTGGTTTTGGATAGTAAATAAAATGACTATTTTTAGTTGTAGTCATGGCGACCACTGGTTCCCATCACCACCACTGTAAAGAAACATGAACCATTTCACACCAAACCACTCTGAATGACATCGCAACAACGGAATGATGCAAAGATTTTAAAAAAATTGGTGGAATTCCCCTTTAAGTCGCACAGGGTTACGTAGGCTAAACAGGCAGATGTAAATGCGCTGGTATTTCCCAGATAGTAAGCATATACCGGTCCACCGGCTTGATAAGGTCGGCACCCCACTGACTGTTTGCCACTGCTGGTCCAGCCTCGGACCACCTAGATTATTGTCCTGCATACAGGCTCTAGTTTTTAATCTGCTCAAAAAGACTTTAAATGCACATTTACATTCTACATCAAACTCCCGAAAGACCTGTTTTTTTTTCCAGGCTACAGGCCCTTTAACGTCTCTTACCTCGCCACCAGCCTGCGGTGGTCCTCGCACAGCTGACTGTACTCTATCTGAAGCCTGGCCCTCTCGTTAGCGGTGGTGTCCAGGGTCTTCCTGGCGTCGGCCAGCTCGGTCTCGTAGAGCAGCCTGACGTTTCTCAGCTCCCGGGTGGTGGTCTCTTCCTTCTCCTCCAGCAGGAGCTGCATGGACGACTTCTCATTTTCGAGCTGGCGCACACGCTCTATGTAGTTAGCCAGCCGGTCGTTGAGCTGCCGGAGGTCCTCCTTCTCCTGCAGGCGGCTCAGGCGCGTCGGGCTGACTGAGGAAGGCGAAGCTCCGGCGGCTCGAGAGGCTCGAGTAGCCCCTGGAGCTGGAGTGGAGGTGATCATGGCTCGCTGTGCCAACGTCACTTCAGCTGGTTATAACTGTGCAAAACAGCCCGAAGGCGACCGTGCAGGATGAGAGAGATGAGATGTGCCAAAGTGCCAAGACAAACTCCAACTCCGAGCGCACCAGAGTCACCACGATGCCATCATCACGAACACGCAGCGCACGCTCAGCCCCGGCCTGGCTATGTCTCCCCTTATTCACAACACGCAGCAGCGCAAAAAACAGCCGCACACTTTCTGTCTAACCCGTAATAATCCTGAGTTTGGTCGCTCTGAGGCCTGTTTAGATGTGTCGGCCAGTAGCGCCTCATTGCGCGCAGCTGTGAGGGGGCTGGCGGCCTCAACGAGGCGCTGATGTCACATCACAAGACCGCAGACACATGCCGAGGAATTTAAAGGGAACGGGGTGTTTTTACCGGCCGAAAATAGCTTTTAGGTTTATCTGGGATTCATTCCGCCCCTCGAAACTAGACAGAAGAAAACAGCTGTCAGGATTTCATTGAACATACATCTTACATCAACAACCAGAGGCAATCAAAACCATTCAGATATTATGTAAATATAATGATCTCTCTCTCATACACAGTATAAACAGACTTGTTTACTCAATGCTTTCTTCATATGTATATTTAATTTATTTAATCTATCCATTTTAAACATCCACTAAATGCAAGTTATTTATTTTTCAGGTGATATTTCTGATTACTCGCATAAGGAAGGAGAAAGTCAAAGGAAAATACAAAAAATGGGTACAGAGAAAATGGGTCTCCTAGCAGCCACCTGGAAGACCTGGTAGACAACAAAACTGTCCCATCAGATAAACAGCAATTAAAGCTTTCATCCCTGAGAGAGAGGAGAAAATCAGGCTGCTTCAGATCTGAAAACATCCACAGGTGTTTCTGTCCATCCTTCCACTGTGAGAAGACAACTCAGCACTATGGGTCTGAAAGGACGTGTAGCTGTCAAGAAGCCTCACTGAGAAAAGGAGACAGACACATCAAACACATTCAGTGAACAAAGAAGCTGAACAATGGACTGACCACCCCAGAGTCCAGACCTCAACATCATTGAATGTGTTTGATTACTTCAGAAAATGATCAAACAACTTCTAAGACTGAACTTTGGAGCCATCCATATATATATATATATATATATATATATATGACAGGCATGTATTTTAAAATATAAGTACATTTATGTACGTTTAATAGAAGTATCAAATACACATTTGGACACACTTGTGTGATACATGGATCATACATATATGTCAGATATATGGGTGAATACATCCCAGTACAGTTATAATTGTTAAAATGCTCTCTGTTTGTTTTTAAATGTTACATATTAAAATAAATACTAAAATAAATGTCAGGGAACAATATTGCCATTTATGTCATGTTTTAATGCTTTTATTGCTTACAATGTTTATATGTTGCTATTGCAGTTTTCCCTTTATTAGGAAGTATGTGGAGAAACAAAGATGCATTAAGACCTTATATTATATAACATGAAGCTAGCATATATGAGTAATAAATGCCATCTATATGTAAACAATGTTTTTTTTAATATACTATTAAATATACAAGTTACACATACATGTTTCTATATGGTGATATATAGCTAAAATACATTTTAAAAGGACTGATTTAAAAATAAGCTGGCATATATGCCACATATATGTCCATGTGTGATATGATATACAAGTCCAAGTTGGATATATGGCAAATCCTTATATGCTAATATATGTCATATATTTAAAATGCATATATTGCCATGTATCAGAGTTTCATATATAACCACATTTCATGTATATTCATTGTTTGTGCCCAAAAGTGTGCATGATTGATAAATGAGACCACTGGCTTACCAGTCTGAGCACAAAACGTTTCTTTGCTGTATGTGGTGGTGCTGCAGGAAAGGGCAGAGAGGCACTGGAGGGTTAACTACAGCGAATAAGCCGCTGCACTGCAAAAAATGGTATCTTGTCAAGTAAAATTATCTTAAGTACAGTCAAGAAATCAAACATTTCACCTGTTGAGATTGTTGTAAGCTTAATTTGAGATTATTTAACTTTACTTGTTTTAAGTACTTTTATCAAGTACAATTATCTCACTATATTGGCAGATAGTTTTGCTTGTTTTAAGAAATGTGCTTGAAACGAGCAAAACTATGAGTGAGATAATTTTACTCATTAAAATGAACTAAAACTAGAAAGTCTTGTAATAAGTCCACAACCATCCCAAAATGAGAAGTGTTAGATATATCGACTAGATTTAAGATCATTTTACTTGACAAGATACCATTTTTTTTGCAGTGTGTGTTATCCTTTTAGTGTCAGTTGGTGATCCCCATCAATGACCCACTCATGCAGGGCCTTAACCAGTCTGAAGCCACCTTGTGCGTTCATCAGAACTCACAACTTCAGCCTGTAAGTCATGGTTACTCTTTGGTTTCTCCTCAGATGCCTGCAGACACTCTTGAACAGCAGACTGATGTAGTCTGGCAGCGTCATGTTGTGGATAGTGATGTATGCAGTGCATCGTCAGGAGGACAGCAACACAGGAGGTGCTCTGAGACCCCATTCTGTCATGAGAGTGGGGGGAGCGTGCATCATTTTGATTCTTGAATGGTGGAGCGGAGCAGTAGGCAAACAGTGGGAGCAGCATGTCTCAGCCTCTTCTCTCTCTGGGGCTGGCTGTGTCAACTGCATCCTGTTCACACATACTGAAAAATATATATATGGACATATATTTTTATATTTTTGAAATACATTTCAAATACAATGCGATCAATGTGGAAATACATTCCAAACACTAAAGTGTATTTCAGAATACATTGTAAAATATATGGGGAAGTATTACAGATATAAATGTATCATAGAACAATAAATGTATAATTGGAACATGCATGAAAAGAGCCAAAATCCTGTCTAATGCACTTTATTGTTTGATACCTTTTGAAATGAATTTGTAGTCCATTATCTTAATTTTAAATATTAGCAAATGAACCTTTAACATGACAAAAGTGAGTGTTGTAGGTATTGATAGTGAAAATGCAGTTATGATTTGATATCTTGTTTATTTGAAATACATTGTGTGTGTGTCTTACTGCAGACGTACGTGGTTAATGCAAAGTCAGTACTGCTCATTCAGCACGTGTATTTAGTTATATCTGTAACCTCTGTCAAAACAACAAAAATCTGAAAACATATAATAACAAACACAAATAAATGCATTTTAAAAATATATTTAACAAATACATTTTTTGGCCATTTTCATACATTGTTAAAATATCTGTTAAAATACATTTGGAATATATTTTATATCCATATGGCAGGCCCTTGATGAGGCTGTTGGGTGAAGTGGTTTGTTCTAGTTTTGTAGATGTTCAGTCAGCAGAACAAGTCCAAAATCACTCAGGACTCAACGTTCCCTCCTTGGATGCTATAAAAGAAGAATGCTGAAACAGTTACACATTCCTTCTAATAGGCAATCACTGTTACCATGACAGCAGTTTGGGACTTCATACACCTTAGACCACTCTGCGAAATACACTGTTGATACTAGGATGTAGCGGTCACCTTGTTTACAGCCCCAGGATGTCCACCACCAAACGTCCTCACAGGCCTACTTTGATCTCTGGACCATATTTGTCTCCCAAAATATAAGGATTGAGCAAGAATCGACTGTCTGGAGGGCCCTGAGGACCGGCTGCAGAACCACTGCTTTAAAGAACCTTTTTTTGGAAATGAGATGTGTACATATGAAGAACCCATTTAATGTAAGGTTCTTTAAGGAAGTAAAAGAGCCACTTTTCCTCAGTGCAATGAGATGATGTAAACAGCAGATGGCGCCACAACTTTTTTTAAACAAAGTTTTCCCGTTTGACTTCAACCAGGACTGCAATGACTGCGAATCAGAGCATGTTTATAATGAACAGTGATGTAGGTGTCAATACTGAGCTGCCTTTTGCTGTTCCACAAATAAAAACCCTTTTGAAAAGGGTTCTATTTAGCACCAAAAAGGGTTTTCTATTGTTACAAGCTTGACATTGTACACAATAGCAGAACCCTTTTTGGAGCTATATAGAACTCTTTTCAAATAGTTTCCATATAGAACCATATACAACACAGTTTCCAAGGGTCCTTCAATGGTTCTTTAGTAAAGAAATTTAGAACCATAAACACACAAAGAACCATTTCCATGATTAAAAGCTTCTTTGCACAGTGAAATGGTTCTTCAGATTGATGGAGAATATGTTCTATATGGTTTTGTAAGGATTCTATATAGCACCAAAAAGGGTTTCTCATTGCTTGACATTGTACACAATAGCCGAACCCTTGAGGGGGTGCTATATAGAACCCTTTTCAAAAGGCCTCTACATAGAACCATATAAAACACATTCTCCAAAGGTTCTTCAAGGGTTCTTTAGAAAATAAATACAGAACCATGAAAACTCATGGTCATGGTTAATTTGCATGATTAAAGGGTTCTGGAGAAGGTGTTGTATATGGTTCGACACACTTAAAGAAGATGGTTCTTAATGTGTTCTTTAGTAAAGAAAATGGTCCTATATAGAACCATGAACACAAAGAACCCTCTGCATGATTAAATGGTTCTTGGCATGGTGAAATGGTTCTTCATACTGATGGATAATGTGCTGTATGTGGTTTTGTATAAAACCTTTTTGAAATGAGTTCCATATAGCACCAAATAGATTCTTCTAATGTGACAAGCTTGACATTGTAACAATAGCAGAACCGTTTTTATATAGAACAATCTACAACACATTCTCCATCAATCTGAAAAACCAGTTCACCGCACAAAGAACCTTTTTGTCATGCAAGAGTTCTCGGTTCCATATAGGAACATTTTCTTCTTCCAAGAACCCTTAAAGAACCCTTATTTAAGTATAAAAGTGTAAGTGTAAAAAGTTACTGCTCACGAGATTCATTAAGCGATGATGTGCAAGTCGGCTTGAAATGAAATGCATTGCAATGACACAGTAAGCTGGGTGTAATCGACACTAGGCCGAGCGCACAGAACCTGAGAGAACCAGAGACTGGCAGACGACGTTAATTAAAATCACGGACTTCCATTTTCACTGCCAGCTTCCATTCTGCACTTGGTAATAAAGCAGCGAGCAGGCGGGCCGCTGGCAGTGTCTGCTGAGCTCTTTGATCAGACACTCATAAGGCTGTTCTAATGATGAAATCTGAAGTACAACATGTGGCTGTGTTCTCAAACTGATCCAGAAAAAGCTCTTACGCTGATGGTCCTGAGAACTTTCCTCAGGCTTTCTTATTAATTGTTTGCTCACAGGTGCACTCTTAAAAAAGGTGCCAAAGGGGGGTCTTTGAGTGACGACATAAAAGAAACACTTTTGGTTCCCTAAAAAACACACTTAGGGGCTTGTAAGTGTGAACCACCTTTTAAAGGTTTAAAGAACCTTCGCATAATAGAGATGTTCGTTACCGATTTAAGAGATTTTTCCAAAAACCTTTACATTATGTAGATTTTTTGAACTTTGAAAAGGTTCTCAGACAACTCATTAATTAAAATGGTTCTCCAAAGAACCATCCACTTAAGGGTCCTTTAGAGAAAGTCTTTTTGGCACTTTATTTATGTGTATTTGAATCCGATTGAAACTCCTAGTTTTAAAGGACACTGTGTTTCTGGTACACACTTACACAAGATGGTTCTTCAAGGGTTCTTTACTAAAGAAAATGGCTCTATGCAGAACCATTAACATTCAAAGAACCGCTTGCATGCTCAGATGTTCTTTGCATGTTCAGATGTTCTTCAGATTGATGGAGAAGGCGTTGTACTTCCGGTCCTAAAATCAGATTGGCTGAGCCGCGTTCGGAGCAGTTGTAAAATCCACTTTACACACACACACACACACACACACACACACACACACCCCCACCTATGACCGCCTCACAACAACTGAACTGTGTATTCCTGCACCACGGCACTTAAAAAAACCGTGTGCTGTTAATGGAATAATCTTTGACTCTCATGCTTCTCATAAGGACCACCGAGTCTATATTGATGAAGTAAGAACCCGTTTTTTGTTTACACTGAGGGGCAACTTTTGTTCTTAACTAGTACTAGGCTGGTCACAGTCTAGCTAGCTAACAGTCTAAAAGATAGCTAATAGGCTAAACAACTCCATCATTAATGTCAGAGTCTTGAATTAAAACACTTACGGTATGATTAACCGTAAAACAGCAGTATAAAAGTCTAAACATGTCACGAATGTCTTACACGCTTCAAATGTTCATGTTTTAGTCAGAAGTAGCGTCAAACTCAGGCTGAATCCCAAACGGCTCTGTACTCCCTAAATAGATTGCTAGCTATGAAAGTTTAGAAATTCTAGTCTCTACAGCCAAATAATGCATCATTTATCGAGTGTGGATGTGTCTGAGCCCCAAATGACTATTTCTTAGCTATATTTTGCACTGTTGGGCTGCAGGATCCAGTATTTAAATTTCTACATAGTGCACTATGTAGGGAGCAGGGAGCCATTTGGGATTCAGCCCCAGCACGAGAAAAGCGGCGCCGCTGGATTGGTGCTAAATGAGACTCGCGTTGGTAATTTGGTGACCACAGAGTGCTTATAAAGTGAAAGTTTTGCCTTAAACTGTGCTGTGTTATCATATGTTCAATGTTATACGACAAAATGTTTAAAAAATCTTGAAATACCCGCCATATACAGCGATGGGCGACCGAACGTTCTCCTCATTCATAGGTTCAACGTTGCTTGGCAAAGATACCATACGCTAAAGGAACTACATTTCTTGGCGGAATACTTGTTTATGTCGATTATTATTAATGATAAATTAATTTCTGAAAATTTTGTGTATTTTCTCATATTTTGTGTTGGCCGCTCGTTTTATAAAGCCACTTGAAGTTGTGCGTTACTGTGATTTAATCACAAAGAAGCGAGTTTAAGGGACTTCACTTCCCGTCGTGCCTAAGAACACCCTTCCCATGATAAAATCGCAGTTACGTGGCTTATTGCTTTATTATAGCACCCAAAAGAGTTCTTATATTGTTACAAGCTTGACATCGTAACAGTAGCAGAACCATTTTTGGTGCTATAAAGAACCACTTCCAAAAAGGTTCCACATGGAACCCTATACAACACATTCTCCATCAGTCTGAGGAACATCTAAGCATGCAGATGGCATGGCAAATAGCCAGTAATACGAAATTTGAACAGGGATCTAGAAATAGTGCCGAATCATGGCTATTTCTTCTTCATTTGACTTCTTATGACTTTTCCTTTCAGTTTTTAAATATTTTAAAACTTTCTGTTCTTTATTTCCATAATCGAATGGTAAACAAAAGCCCAGATTTTCAGTGTAGTCTCACACTTTTGGACCCCACTGCATGCGGAGCTATATTGCAAACACATATTTTGAAAAAAAAAAAATGTATATGGAAATATGTTCTCTTTGCATATGGGAAAGTTTTATGAGCTTTTTTTTGCTTGTGGAAATTGTATTAAATTGTGTGAAATTATATTAATGTATAGAATATCTGTTACATTTGCTTTTGCATTGATGAATGTAGAATAATAATAAATTGTTGAAGAAAAGTTGTGACCTCACAGCGCCGCCTGGTGGAGCCGCAGCGCAGCGCAGCGCGCAAACTTCTCTCTCTCCCTCTCTCTCTCTCTCTCTCTCTCTCTCTCTCTCTCTCTCTCTCTCTCTCTCTCTCTCGCCCCCTTTTCTCCTGCAGCTTTTTCCACCAGCAGCTCTCACAGTCTGTGCACCGTCCCAGCAGCACATCTGCCCCGCGTACACATCTGCGCCGCGCGCACATCTGCCCTGCTGCTGCTGTTGCTGCTGCTGCACATCTGCAGAGCCGCTTCACCGCGCGCTTCCCTCGCATACAAAAGAGAAGAAAATGTGAATCCTCTACTTCGCAGCGAAGGTAAGCGCGAGCTGGACACGTACAGCTCTCTCATCAGCATGCACGAGCCACGCTCCCGCTATCCGGTGCTCGACTCCGCTGTTCAGTTCTGTCTGTTTGTTTATTGCTGTTAGATATCGGCGTGCGCGTGACTGAAGCTCCCAGTTGTTAAAGATCACAGTGTGTTTTAAAGCGCCCTGCATGGCACAGCAGAGAGCATGGCACAGCATCCCATATGCATGACAATGTGACTGTAATATACTCCTATATACAGAGATTTTTAATAATAAATAAACAAATAAATAAATACAATGTGCCTAAATATGCATGAGCAGCTTCGCCATGCAGAACCTGTCCAGAAGACTGAAGCCTCTAATGCTCTGTCATTCCTACACACTTAAAAAAGGATGGTTCTTCAAGGGTTCTTCAGTAAAGACAATGGTTCTACATAGAATCATGAACACTCAAAGAACACTTTGCATGATTAAATGGTTCTTTGCATTGTGAACTCATTCTTTAGATTGATGGAGAATGTGCTGTATATGGTTCTATATAGAACCTTTTTTGAAAAGGGTTCTATATAGCACCTAAAAGGGTTTGGCTACTGATACGAGTTTGACATCGTAGCAATAGCAGAAAACCTTTTGATGCTATAAAGAACCCATTTCAAAAAAGTTCTATATAGAACCATATATAACATATTCTCCAAGGGTTCTTTAGTAAAGAAATATAGAACCTTAAAAACTCAGAGAACCCCTTGCATGGTTAAAGGGTTCTAGAGAATGTGTTGTGCACACTTAAAAATGGTTCTTCAAGGGTTCTTTAGTAAAGACAATGGCTCTATATAGAACCATGAACACTCAAAGAACCATTTGCATGATTAAATGGTTCTTTGCATTGTCAAATGGTTCTTCAGAGTGATGGAGAATGTGCTGTAGATGGTTCTATATGAAACCATTTTAAGAAGAGTTCTATATAGCACCAAAAAGTGTTCTGGTATTGTGATGATGTCAGGCTTGGATCAAAAGAACCCTTTTTGGTGCTACATAGAACCCTTTTCAAAAGGATTCTGTATAGAACCATATACAACTCATTTCCAAGTGTTCTTCAAGGGTTCTTTAGTAAAGAAATATAAAACCATGAAAACTCAAAGAACACTATGCATGATTAAAGGGTTCTGGAGAATGTGTTGTATTTGGTTCTACACACTGAAAAATTATGGTTGTTCAAGGGTTCTTTAGTAAAGACAGTGGTTCTATACAGAACCATGAACACTCACAGAACCCTTTGCGTGATTAAAGAGTTGTTTGCATTGGTAAGGGTTCTTCAGATTGATGGAGAATGTGCTGCAGATGGTTCTATATAGAACCATTTTGAAAATGGTTCTATATAGCACCAAAAAGTTTTCTGCTTTTCATCATAGGTTTTCTTATGATGAAAAGCTTAAATCAAAAGAACCCTTTTTGGTGCTACATAGAACTATTTTCAAAAAGATTCTATATAAAACCATATACAGCATGTTCTCCAAGGGTTCTTCAGGGGTTCTTTAGTAAAAAAATATATAACCATGAAAACTCCAAGAACCCTTTGCATGACTGAAGCGTTCTGGAGAATGTGTTGTACACACTTAAAAAAAGATGGTTCTTCAAGAGTTCTTTAGTAAAGAACCAGAACCATCACCAGCACATTCTCCATCAATTTGAAGAATACTTTAATCTTGCGAAGGGTTTTCTGAGTGTTTATGGTTTTTTATACAACCATTTTCTTTATTAAAGAACCTTAAAGAACCCTCATATTTAAGTGTGTGCAGCAGCTCCAGGCATGAGAGTAACAGTCATTGCTGGGTTTTGCAGCTCAGTTGAGATGAGGGACCCATAGACAGCTCTGAACTGTAAATGAGTGGTTTTAATACTGAAGTGCAGTGAATTTTATTCATATGTGCGTTTCTGCTCACATTGATTGCACAGCTGAGCTGATTTCTCTGCTGTGTATTTCTCTTTTTGCCCATTGTGCATGCTGTGTTGTCATATTCAGTGTGTTTACTGTGATAGACTTGAGTTCAGTCTTTAATAAAAGCTATTTTGGGGTCTCTCATACGTGGAAGCCCATTCCTGCCTGTTAGAGGAGATAAAAGATCACATGGATCTTTTTCTCTTTCTCTGTTTGTGACAGCAGCATGTCAGCGTATCTCAAAATATTGACTTGTATTCCCCAAATTATGACTTACATTCTTGAAATGATGACTTATTTCTCTAAGTATTGACTTAGCATCTGAATATAATGACATATTTTCTTAAAAAATTACATTTTCTGCAAATAATGGCTTATTTTGTCAAGATTTTGTGTTGTGAATATGAAATTCTGACATGCCGAGTCCCAAACAAGATGTTACTAAATTCCAAGAGAGCAATTGTCTGGAGATATATAATTGTTTTGACATAATAAGTCAAATTTCTGAGAAAATAAGTCAATATCGAGAGATATTAAGTCATCATCTTGTCATAATAAGTCATTATTGAGAAAAAAATAAATTATTGTTTAGAGATACTTTGTCATTATTTTGACATAGTAATTCATCATTTTGACACAGCAAGTCAAAAAATTAAAAAATAATTAATTATTTAGAGATACTTTGTCATTATTTAGACATACTAAGTCATTTTGACATAAGTCATTATTCAGAAAAAATATGTTTTTATTTAGAGATACTTTGTCATTATTTTGACATACTAAGTCGATATTTTGCCATAGTGAGTCATTATTCAGAAAAAACAAGTCATTATTTAAAGATACTTTGTCAGTATTTTTATATAGTAAGTCATTATTTTGACAGTCATTATTCAGAAAAAAGTTATTATTTGAGATACTTTGTCATTATTTTGACATAGTAAGTCATAATGTCAAGAAAATAAGTCATTATTTAGAGATATTTTGTCATTATTTAGACATACTAAGTCATTATTTTGAGTCAAAATTTTGAGAAAATAATTATTTCGAGATATTGTCATAATTTTGTCACAGTAAGCCATTATTCCAAGACAAAAGGTAATTACTTTGAGATACTAAGTCATTTTTTTGACAAAATAGTCAAATTTTTTAAAGAAGATGTCATTATTATGAGATACTAAGTCAAAATTTTTATGTACTGCTGCAGAAGACAGAGAACAAGAAAAAATCGTGGGCAATCTTTCCCCCTCCCCTGACGGGAAAGGGCTTCACATCTGGCCTGGGCTCATTCACAGTTCTGTTGGTATTGTTTATTAATGTTTACTGTCCCAGACAAATAAATTGGTAAAATATAACAATCAATCAAGCAATAAATAAATCAATAAATCAATCAATAAATAAATAAATAAACCCCCCTAAAAATAAGAGTGTTTTTTGACAAGCTTGACTAAACTCCCATTTGAAAGGTTCTTTATGGAACTATAAGTGCTTCTTCTTCTGCATTGCTCTGAATATATCTGCATGTATATTCTGGATATGATTATATGTACGTACAGTTTTGTTCTGGATGGGTAGCTCTGGGGGAGTAAAGGTGGATCTATTTTGGTGGCATGATGTAGGTCGCTTCGTATCTCTTCCAAACTGACAGTGCATCTCTCTATCGCAGGCTGATATCACAGCGTACTTCTGAGGCCTCCGGAGTGGAGCGACTTCTTAAACATGGAGCTTTTGGTTTGGCAGATCAGCACGGTTCTCACACTGGTGTCCTCTGGGATTCAGGTATGACTGGCTTTAGCTGTGAGCTCTGGTTATTGGTAAATTATTAATAACATTAATTACTAAAATCTGGATCAAAGTTTAAAGGAATACTCTGCTGTTTTTCAACCTACTCTCTATTTGCCACATCTATAGCATATCGCTGCTGTCGGAACAAAACCTTGTATCTCTGTTTTTGTTGTTTCTCTGTTTATGGCATCATTTGAAAGTGCCCATGGTGCTATAAATTGTATGTAAATTTCATGATTAATGGACCAACAGAAATGACTCAAAATTAATAGGAAAAACGTCACTTACATTAAAAGTAGAGTAGGTTTTTCCTTTCTCCTGTAAAGTTCTCATTTTGGAGATATGAAGTTTTGTTCCGAAAACAGCGATATGATTGATTACCATAGTCAGTAATTTCTTTGTACTTAGAAAAGAACAGAAAATCCACTCAAAACTCATTTATAATAGAAGCCAATGGGAAGATATTTCAGCATCTGCCCACTGGCTTCTATTATGAATGTTTTTTGAGTCAAAAGGTTTTACATTTTTTTACTCATTACAGGGAAATGTGTCTGAGTGATTCTCTGCGGTAGGCGACGGTACTTTACTGATGCAACTGATAGAGACTAGGTTGAAAAATTATGAGGTTTCCTTTAATATGTGTGGCAGACAACACTAAGATAATTAGTTGACTAAGATATGTAGGATTGCATCACTTCATCTCATGCTGCTGTCTCTGTAGCAGCCGCTTTATCACTTTAGGCATGAGAAATTATCACATTTCTCAGACGTTTGCCTTTTGGGTGCTAAATTGAGTGCAGTATGTAATGAATTATGCGCTTTCCCATCATATTGCATTAACTGAGGGCAGTAATTAATTCACAGCTACTGCATATGTGTGAGTTTCTATTGTTGGGTGGATTCTCCAGCAAAATAATATTTCATCTCACATAAAGACAGTCTTTCATGATCATTGATCTTGGTGAACTACTTAAAGTGCCAATGTCTTACATTTTTCTTGTATTTAATTTTATCCCCTGACAATTGTGTGGATTTATGGACCATAAACGATCATAATTCATTTTTACAGGACAATTTTCCAACCTCTCTTGGCTGTTTTTTTTACTGTGCCTTTAAAACTGATATATGTGAATGAGCTCTGCTCTGATTGGCTGTGCTGTATTGTTACTCATTCAATAAGCATTCTGGAATGAAACATTCCTCATAACTACACTGAGTGGGCAGGGCTGAACTGCTGTAGGCTGAATGAGCAGATATGTGCAAATATGCTGTTTTTTGTGACATCACAAAAACTGGTAATTTCAAATGGATTTTTTGCAGGTTAGTTTTCATGTATGTGTGACATTTGTTGTGACATCACTAAAACAACTGATTCAACCCTAGCTTAGTTTACATATATGGACTGTAGGGGACCTTTAATGAACCTTCAATGATGTTTCCAGACCACATTAAACTCTTTTGTTTAAAAAAAGCTTCAGATTTCAGTCTTCTGTGATATGGGCCCTTTAAAATTTTGTGGATAGTCATATAAGATTTTGTCTACATGAGAAACAATAAGGGTTTCAATGCAAAAGATCATGAACATAAAACAAACATCATATAATGCAATGCTATGCCTACAGTGTCGGGCCTTGCAGTGAAAAATGTTTTGAAATATAAATTATTATTCCATGAAAGTGACTTGACAGAGATGCCTCACATTTCAAAGCAATTTCCCCATCTGATTTCTCTTTAAATCACAGTATTGACTGACAGCACTTCACCAAAGGCAGCCTGAAAGCTCATTCTGGATTCCTACTGCTACTCTGAATGCAGATTTCTAAATAGAGCCTCTAGCCCACCGTGTTCAGAAGGGGACCAGTTGAATGTCGTCTCTTTTTATACGACACAGGACACTGGTGCCAGTTATATATAGAGTGTAGAAGGGAGCTTAATGGAAGAGTTGGCATGCACATGAATGCAGGCCTAATCCGTGACAATAGGCAGCCGAGGGCCACTCGGTAATGGCAATTTGCACCGCGAAGCTGCCGGACGGAGTGGCCAGATCCCCTTTGTCCGACGCCGGTGGGTGCGTGTACGGAAATAGCAGCTGAAACCCGACGCGTTTCTTTGTGTACCTGAAGCGAATGTAGCTGGATAGAGCGGAAGGACAGAAGGATGGTGGGCAGAAACAGAAGAAGGTAGTGATGTAGGGCTGGACAATGTGGCCAAAAGCATTATCACGATATAGTTCTCTATATCATTAATAATCAGTAAATATTAACAGTGACTTTATAGGAGGGAAAAAACTTTAATGTATGTTAATGTAACAAAGTTCTCAGTCCTTATCAAGTGTAAATTGCAGCTTATGTTTTCAAATGGTATTAAAGAGCCTATACCCTACATTTTTCTAGCATTTTAGTTTCTCACCCACAATGTTTGTGTGGGTTTGTGTACAAAATCAAAGTCATAATTCCTTTTTCAGGTAACCATTTTTCACCATATCTTTATCCCCCAGCATTAAACATGCTGTTTTTGTTACTGTGCCTTTAAGACTGATATACGTAAATGACTTTGTTCTCATTGGCTGCCGAGTGTTGTGCAGTCTGGTCTCAAACACTTTTTATGACTTCAGTGTGAGAAGGTGAGGCTGAACTGCTGTATGCTGAAAGGTATATATGTGTATATATATATATATATATATATATATATATATATAAAAATATATATATATATATATATGTTTATATATATATATGTAAACGAGCTTTTGTGACATCACAAAAGCAGTGAAATCAAAACACACAAGAAAGTGATAAAAATACAGTTTTCCATGATGTAAGCACTTTACAAACCAGGTTTTGATATTACAGTAGCAATATGCAATGTGCAGTAGGAATTGTAGTTTGAACCCTGAAGAAAGCAAGTGCGGTTACACCGGATACTGGTTTGAGAAACAGCTGCATTATTATTTTATCGGAAATACCTAGAAAAAATGTGTGATTATGAATATTATTACTATTGTTTTATCACCTTTTGTTCCTGGTTGCCATTAGTATTTTTTTCTTCATTTGTTTAACCTGATACCTGAGATGAAAAAGAATGAATAGCCTATGCTTAGGTGCTTATCTTAAATAAAGATCTTCAATTAAAAATAGCTAATTTTAAAGCTTGGTCACTGTTAAAAGAAGAAAAACTGGACTGTTACTGCCTGATACTCAAGGTTTTCAATAACAGTGGCATCATTTGTTTTTCTGTGGTGCAACAAACCATTATAAGCCAGCTATGCATCCTGTAGAACAGGACATTATAGAGCATCTTTAACTTAAAAGAGAACTACACTATTTTTTCAAAATTTACTGCATAATTAAAAGATGTAAACAGAGTCATTCAGAGAGGTTTGGTGTGAAATCCTCAGAATTGTTCACAGTGGTGGTGATAGGAACCAGACATCTACCTCTAAAAGCTTCCTCACAGAAAGTTATTACATGAAATGGTTATGAATTCACTGCCTGTTGTCTGAGACATTGTTTTACAATAGTTTTGAGAAGGTATTAGTCCAAAATTCATTCATGGATGTTGTCTTGGAGGCGTTGTAACTCCTGGTTCCTATCACCACCACTGTATAGAAATCTGAGTGTGTACAATCAACCATTTCACACCAAACCACTCTGAATGACTCTGTTTACATCTCAACCACTGAATTATGCAAAATTTTAAAAAATTGTTGGAATTCCTCTTTAAGTAAACACCATTTTCCGTAGTTGATATTGGCTAACCAGCTAATCGTCGCAGCCTGTCTAGTGTCAGCAGCATGGGCATGAGAAGCAGCCCTGGATTGAGTTTCTGTTGGAGACCTTCGTCGCGGTCATCTTTTCCACTGCTGTGGATTCCCAAGCATTTGGCTAATGTCACTCAGAATTTCAGACACCGTGTCTGCACACAAGACGAATGGCACTTCTTTTTTTGCTTTTTGCAGGGCTTTTTAACAGAGAGGCAGTTTAGAAAGTCCTCTGGCCGTTGAGAAAGTCCATACCGTGTACATGGCCATCCCAATCCATCATACAAGCGTTTTACTGACCCACTGACCCGTCAGTCTTCCGTCTAACTGAGAACAGTTTTAGCCTAAATTGAAACTTTTATGTGAATTTTTTCAGGCTTTTTTTTTTAAGGGCTCTTTGCAGTAATCTTTAGCAATAATATTTGTTCAGTAGGCTAAACATTTTTGCCTGATTTATGAGTGTATGAAGGCTGCCTGAAGATGAATGAAACAGGTGTCCTGCTTTTTCTGCTTGAGAGCTGCTTCACTCTTTAACCTCCGACAACACGGCCTTCCTATGATCACTCCTACTGGACAGTTTTCATGAGATACACCTGTGGCCAAGCTTGTGTTTGGAGTGGAAGGATTTCCTTTTCCGCTCTGCAGCTTTGAAGGAGTTTTTCTTCATGTGTGTATCCCTGTAGATGTTGGATCTGCAGACTTTATCAAATGCTGACATGCTAATGAACAGCACCTTTTATAGCAGCATGCTAAAGGCTTAGACATGGACCATATGGTGAAAACATAACATTGCCGATATGATGCTTATGATTTTCTTGTTCATCTTTCTATAAGAATAAAGCATTTAGGAACTGCATTAAAACAAATAATTGGTAAAAATAAACGCATAAAATAAAATGATTGTATAAAGGGCTGCTATCCAATCAGCTCCTTCTTACTATGCACTTTATGTAGTTACTGTACACAGGTTGTCGTTATTGTTATTGTTGTGTGTGTATATACATATATATATATATATATACATATATATATATATATATATATTGCTGCCATCGGAACAAAACGTTGTATCTCCAAATTGATAAATTTACAGGAGAGGGAAAAACATACTTTACTTTTAATGAAAGTAATAATAAAGTCAATAGAACCAGATTTTTTTCTGTGTAATTTTGGGCTGTTTCTTTGTTCCATTCATCATGAAATTTACACACAATGTAAAGGCCTACAGATATTT